GCATCAAATTAAATAGGTATTATCTGTTGATGAAAATAGACAAAAATGGCTACCGCGCCGTTTTGAAGTATCTCCGATGAAATGGCTAACACCAACAGCCATCCATAAGGGGTTGTGCTCCACAGTTAAGAGCTGGGCAGCGGAGTTCAAGAGGGCAAGAAAGATCCTCGACGACGACCCAAGACCAGGAATACCTGCATCTGACCCACCTTTAAGAAAATGGTAATAAATGGTAAATAAATTACTATGGATGAACTACGACTCATAGCGTCAAATAGCCAATGCAGTAGGCATCTCTCATGAGTCGAGAACATTCTCAGGAAATCACTGAGCATCACAAAGGGTTCGGCAACCTGCGTTCCAAGGCTTCTGACGCCTGATCAGAAACGTGAGAAATTATATCGTTTCGAATCAAACCTAGCTGACTTTGTTGAGCGATTTGTAACCAAGGATGAATCAGACACCAAACAGTCAATACAGTGGAAACACCTAACGTCCCCTCCTCCAAAGAAGAACGATCTGTTCCTTCAGATGAGAATGTGATTGCTTAGTTGTTTTTTTCTGGTGGACTATCTCATCATAAGTGACCAATATTATGCTAATCTGCTAAGGTAACTGCGCGAGAATATCAATGCTAAACGTCGTGGAAAACTCACTATTGGTGTGTTGCTCCACCAAGTCAGTGAACATGTGCTCAAGTATTGTCGCCGTTGCTGCGCTTATGTTAATTTGTTGTTTAACGCCGCTCTCTGCAATATTCCAGCTATATGACGGCGGTCTATAAATAATCGAGTCAGGACCAGATAATCCAGGGATTGACATCATAACCTTCATCAACCACACGATTCCGTTAGTCGCCTCTTACAACAAGCCTAGTGCTTTGAAACAGCCTCTCTATTCAACACGTTCCATCATCAGATTCCCACCTCTTCACAAGCTTGAAGAACAAACTGTCTGGCAAGCATGATTATGACGTTGTTTCTGCTGTGGTGGACGTTTTACAACACCAAGGGAAAGCATTCTACGTCAATGTGAGCCAGGCACTCCGGCATTGTTGGCAGAAGTGTGCGAACCTCGGAGGGGAGTATGTTGAAAAATAATAAGCAACCAACTATATCAGAGCAGCCCTTGCAATTAGGCTCAGAAACTTTCATCCACCCCTCGAAACGCGCAATCATGGAGACGAACGCTGGGCCCTGTGGAATATAATTATGTTTTGTTGACCAGCAACATAAGTGCATGACCTGCAGAAGACTTTAATGGATATATTTCGTTCTGGTGTTGTCGAGATGTCGACATTGGTTTGAAGTTACAAATGTCACAATTTCAAAAGCGTGTTTTTGAAAGTTTGCGTTTAAAAAAAGGACAGATCTTCCTCAAAATAGAACACGATATTCCAACATCGATACCTGATCTCGATTTGCTGTTTGACATTACACTTTTCCCTCACTGCATGACGTAGGAAATTCATATTGCCGGTAAACGCATCAAATCTTCAACGCAAAACAAAGGTCCCAGCTCTATGATTCCCTTCTGCCTTGTAAAGAGTGAGTGAGTGAGTTGGGTTTAACGCCGCTTTTAACAGTATTCCAGTTATATCACGGCGTGTCAGCTTAATGTGGGAGGAAAGCCCGAAGTGATGCAGGTCTCAGACGTTTACCACTTCGGCCTTGTAAAGATGTGGCCTTAGCATCCCTGTAACTGAGGTGCTTTCATTGTCAGAGCAGTGTCGTATGCTGATGTGAGCATCAGTACGTGTACGTGTTTGTATCCAGCAGCTGTGTGGACCGCTTTAGCTCACCAATGACGCGGAGGAGGCACATTCGTGACCGTTATGCCGAGCGCAAGGCTGGGCAACAACAAGTCAATTCTTTGAACGTCTTTTGGAATGAAACGGCCGGTGATCGAGCCACGAACCCTCCGCGCTCCGGGCAGACTCTCTATTCACAAAACCACGCAGGCGGTCCGATAAGTTAGAACTATGCCAATATCTTGGTTGAAGTGTGAAGTACCCGACACAGGGAGCTAATTCCACAAACCTATAGAGTATGACTAAATCGTTCTATATAGATCCGAGGCAGTACCATCAGCCCTCATAACGCATCTACAACACCACAACAAGTTAGAATTATGTATACATTCAAATCAACTGGTCTTTATCAAGTCCTTTGGAACCATTGACCATGTTTGTTGACTGTGATGATCGTGGTTAAAAGGTTAATTTTAGTTTAGTTTCTATTCGTTCGTCGTCGTTCGTTCGCTTCCCTGCGTGACCTTCATTGACAACGGGCTCTACCGGTAGTTCAGGACATGTTTGGTGTCACCACTCTACAGTTATGATTATTGTTTTTGTTTGTAAACTTGCAGCTAGCATATCACGCTATCTCTTTTTCGTTTTCTGTAAAACAAATACGACGATGGCTCTTCTGCACTGGCGTGTTTAGTTACACGCATGTTCATGTAAATCTTCAGGATGTCGTGCAATGACTCCCTGACAACCACACTTACCGTGATCGACAACACAGCACACGAGCTCTTCTGTCAATACCGACCTGCATTCAACCTTTTTTCAACATCATTGAGTTACACTGAAATTACAGCACATATTGACGTTAACTTCACAGCACACATTGGGTAATATCGATGTGAGAAGTCTTCGCCTCGAATGTCCTTACACTATTATCATGCAGCGAAGCACAAATATAACAGTTTTTTCCATTAACACGGTTTTCAATTCCGTATTGATTAAGGCGCTCAGATGTATTATGTACATTTTCTATGATCATTTATCCTAGGTTGAATACAGACGTTTAGTGTGATGCGGAACTGAGTGAAAGACAAAGCGAGAACTGCAATTAATTCTGGAGTTATCCTTTCACGAGAAATAATGAACTCTCTGTAAATTGCACATTGCTTCGTGGGGGTAGAGTTACAACATGATAGTTATTGTTTGGTTGGATAACATTGATTATGTAAGACCCACCATGGTGTCACAGTATTTACGTTGGTCAGTCGTTTCCCGATTGTGTTGATTCAGTTCATGGTTTGATTGTGCGTTCGTTCGTTCAATCGTTCGTTCGTTAGTTTTTTTCCTCGTTCGTTCGATCAGTCAGCTCTTTCCTTCGTTCATCCGTCGGTCGGTCGATCGTTATTGGATCGGTCAGTTATTTAGTCCTTCAGGCGGTCAGTCATTCAGATGACCATTTAACCAAGGTTGAATACTAATACAATTCAACAGAACTTGCGTGATAAATTTACTCGTACCTATGCCGAAACGTCGCATTGAAAGAATAACTGTCTTCATTAATAATACAGCTTTTAACATCACTGTGGTTGGGTCACGGAGATGAAATTGAACATGAATTCCACGTCCTATTGTTTTTGTAACAAGCATTGTAAGAAGATATAAACTGATGGCCAAAAGAATCTCTATCATAGTCCTAAAACACTCAAGTTTAGATAAAGTAAAATGTATTGAAAAGATCAATATCTCAACGAAATGAACTTTTAAAATGCCACTTGATATTGGCATAAGGACAGTGGCGCGAATTTAGTTGGGGTAGCAAAAACAAGCTTTCAACGTAATGGACAGAGGGCACACACATCTAAAATCGCTCAAGTTCAATGACATACCTGCTACAAGACACGTAAAACCTCTCCGGAGCGCAGAAAAGGTCACTCGTCTGATGACGTCACGTGGGATACGTAGCCATTCTTCTAGGAAGGCCTGTAACACTTCTTATCAGCTAGCCGGAGGATGTCGTCGTGGTCGATCCTTGACATCCCAGAGGTGTTCTATTGGGACATGGCTGTCTGGAATCGAGTACGGAGATGCAAGTACGCAAGTACAGGTCTTCATTGGGCGAAGTTACCCTGGGTCTGCCTGTTCTTGGCCTGTCTGATGTCTGCCGGTTCTGTCTGTAACGTTGCATCATGTTAGTTACAGCAACACGGGAGCAACCAAAAGTTCTGGCAATGTGGGCATGGGTGGCACCCGTCTGTTCTTAACCAGGGTCCGCTCGCGTTGTTCGGGTGTCGATCGTGGAAGTTCTGGGATGTTTATTCATCAGTGTGAGTGCCTGACATGTCGCCCGTATCATTTACATATCCTTATTGTAAAGTGTTTCGGTTGCCCATGCGGCACGTGCTTTTCACCTTTTTTTATGTTGTACAAAACAAACTGTGCCGTGCTCGTGTATCATTTTCTGCATAGAACATTGCTGTGTTGGGACGATGTATTTTGTATTGATTCAGTTGGAACTTGGTTTTTTTAAATGTTGCAATTTCATTTTTAAAATGGTAAAGTTTCCTTTAGCCGCCAGTTTTCATATCTTTCTTTCTTGAATAATGACTACAACTCTAAAATGTTTATGATTAATCTCCTGTGGTGTTTAAGAAGAATTCGCACGCCGTTCACTCGTGTCCTTTATGAATGTAACAAAATTACATCTCTTGGTGACAATTTTAAGCTCCCTTGGTGACAATTGCTGTGTAGCGCTGCGCCTCTCAGACTTGCAAGGATCCTGTAAGAATGGACTCGCCCTTATTTTTATTTTTGCTTTGTCAGTACCATGCCTGTGGTTTCACCAAAGTGTTAAATGGGTGGCATCTGCTTACATTCGGACTTTACTAGAGCTGACACGCCCTGGTACAAGTGGAACAAAGTTCAAAGGGGCATCAAATTGTTTGATTTGATTGTTGATTGTTGTTTAACACCGCACCCAGCAATATTCCAACTTTAGGACGGCGGCATGTAAATAATCGCGTGCGAGCCAGACTATCCGATGCATCGATGACTGTGATGCGATGACATGAAATCCGCCAAGTCAACGAACCAGATCACTCGATCCATTTAGTCGCCTCATACGACAAGCGTAAGGTGCTGGGGACCTATATTCCTTCCCAGAGTCCCCACTGGTTCCAAACCGAACTCACCCACCCATACTTGATACATAGTTAAACCATGTCTCTGATGACCTTCATGTCTTTACCACTTGCAGGTGTTCTATCAGAATTCTGTCCTTCCTATAACGACACCTACGGAGAAAAACAGAGCGCCTTTTACTGTCCAATCAAACTGCAACTCTTTACCGCCAACGACCACTTCTGCTGCGGTAAGAACACCTCCATGTACTGCTGCCACGACATCACGAAGAGCATTTACAGCCATACGGAGTCCAAGTCTACAGCATTTTGGAATGAATAGTAAGTAAGACTTAACAATGAAGTAAGAGGATGTTGTTTTTTACATAAGTCCTATTACATGCATACGGGTCCGGTCGGGTATACTCGTGGTTAAAGCGTTCGCTCGTCACGCCGAAAACCCGGGTTCGATTCCCGACAAGGGTACAATGTGTCAATCCCATTTCTGGTGTCCCCGCCGTCATATTGCTGGAATATTGCTAAAAGCGGCGTAAAACCATACTCACTACATGCATACCTCCTTTATACATGAAGATGTCGGGTGGGGCAGCCTATTGCTAGTGGTATAACCGTTGGTTCGATTAAGATCAGGCACCCGTGACATAGCCTGAATATCCAGTCACATACTCACTCACCCATCACATGAAGAGGATCTGGTTGCACACTTGTAAAATGCGTCGTGCAGAGTTGTGTCCCTTGTGAAATAACTGAAATTGTGTTTAAATTGTCGTAAAATTCAACTTATCACGACATGCCGCGTCCATTCTTTGCATCCCCATGCGATGCAGCTAGAATATTGCTACATTCGGTATGATCGCCTCCGTGGTCTAGTGGATAGAGAGTATGCCCGGATTGCGGAAGGTCGGTGGCTCGATCCCCGGCAGCGTCATACCACAATACGTTTAAACATGTTACTTCCTGCCTGGCGCTCGGCATTAAGGGGCTAAAACAAGAACTGCAAGGCTCGGAGTCAGTATATGTGTCTGAGTAGGTTATCCATGTTAAACTGCGGCATGGTATCAGAGTAGGCTAGCAGTACAATACAGCAGAAATCCGGAATAGAACAAACAGCCAAGCACGCATGCATGTACGTCGCTATGTGAGTGCAATCATTTGAACCCCATTTTACCTCAACCTGAGAGCTAGCATTATAAAACCCGCATTAGTGCGGACAAGAACGAACAAAATAAAAACGTTAATAAGACTTGTTGTAGCCCTGCCTGGCGCTCGGCAAAAAGGTGGTTAACAATGCCTCAACGGCTCGGAGCCAGTACACTGTGCCATCTGTTTGAGGTATCTTAAACTGCGGCATGTGGGCCGCCCCTTTACAACCAGCATCAGTCCAGACAGACGCACGCACGCACGCACGCACGCACACACACACACACACTCACACACAAACACACACATACATGGATACAGGACCCGTGAAGATCCGGGGTAGAATAGGTCTTCAGCAACCCATACTTGCCGTAAAAGGCGACTATGCTTGTCGTAAAGGGCGACTAACGGGATCGGTGGTCAGGCTCGCTGACTTGGTTATACATGTCATCGATCCCAATTGCGTGGATCAACGCACATGATGTCAATCACTGGATTGTCTGGTCCAGACTCGATTATTTTACAGACCGCCGTCATATAGCTGGAATATTGCTGAGTGCGGCGTTAAACAACAAACAAACAAACAAAACATGGATACAGCAGATACACTTGCTTGCACGTCGCTTTAAAAGGACAATAATTTTGACATTAAACATTCGTGAACATCTATCACTGTTTCAGCTGGCCCTACTTTGCTGTGATCGGGTTTGCTCTGATATCGGCACTGTTTTCGCCGTTCCTTTTCCCTCCAAAGAAGTCTGTGATCATGTCCTGACCTGATGACCTTGAACATACAATATGGCCTTATCACCCCTTCATGACCTTCAGTCGACTGATTGGATCAAGGCACCAGAGCATGCTAACGTCACTAAATCACCTGATATGAACTTCGGGTTGTGAGAGCCCACATCAACCACCGGTATTTCCGTTCATATTGCGCCTGCTGATGTGTAGAGAGATACATTGTTTGCTTCTTAAAGGTAATCTCCACAGTGGTGTTATGCTTACAGGGGGCGGTCGGGTAGCCTCGTGGTAAAAGCGGTAACTTAGCTCGTCACGCCGAAGACCCGGGTTCGATTCCCGACATGGGTACAATGTGTGAAGCCCATTTCTGGTGTCCCCCGCCGTGATATTGCTGGAATACTGCTTAAAGCGGCGTAAAACCATACTCACACAGCCATGTTCACAAAGAAATCTTAGAGCTGCGACTGTCATTAGTCATATACTTTGACATAGATAAGACAGCCGAAGCGCTGAGATAGTTTTGTGAAAATGGCTCTTACGTTTGAATTACTGTTGTGTATGTTCATGTTAGTATAGAGAGTAGATGTTTATTTCAAGATTGTAAAATGAATGGGTCAGTGTGCTGAAATATAAAACAAACGTTAAATAGGATGGGGTCCCTGAGTGCTTCATGTGAATTTATTTTCATGATAAGAAACGCTTTTCTTCAGGGTGTTATCATTTGTTGACGCCGTCAGTATGTTCAACTCTCCGTCGGGCAAAACCTCACGCTTCTGTAGATAGCAATGCCATAAAAGATAGCGTTACCGGTATATCGTTCGACTAAAGCCGTGTGATCCAAATGAAATTACACCGGGAATGTGTTTCAGAGAATTCCGTTCTTATAGAGCAGGTTTTTATTTTGTTTGTTTGTTACAATGACATGCATCAAAAAATTGAAGTCAGCGAGCCTGACCACCAGACCCCGTTAGTCGCCTCTTACGACAAGCATAGACCCTCTAGTATAGGTTGCTGGGATCTTCACGGGTCTGTGATGCAGGTATAACCAGATACAATGACTGTGACAAATCAGCCATTTACTGATTCAAACTCTTGATCCGAAAACATGAGTGTGTGTCTCGTTTAGCAACTCCTCACTACTATACTCAACATATTCTGAAATCGCATAAGTAATTTCAGTAGTTGTGATAATATTTATCGACTTGCCATGTCACATCGTGCTTACTTCTAACTGTAAACAAACTGGACTAACAACAACCTCTTTATGTTTTACAAGGTTCCATCAAGACCCTTGAAACGAAATGGAAAACAATGTCGATCAATACAATAAATAAGAAGGACTCTCCAAACAGATAACAATATTATCGCTTTTATGCCGTAAGTTTGTTTCGCACAAAGGTGCTTCTCAGAAACTTGCGACCTGATACTTCAGAGCGACACCACTTTAAAGGCCATTATTGTCGGAGACGGAGCCTTGTTTATGCAAAACATGTGAGCTGTATAGTCCCACGTCTATTTGGGTCGATTGACGGTTTTCTATAACTTGCCAATGGTGTGTGCGGGGTTTAGTAGAACATATCTCCCTGTTTGACGAGGATGGGTTCAAGTACTAGGTGACTTTGAGGTTTGTTACTTCCATTTACTACAATTGTCTCTAATTGTTTTAAATATACATTATCTTTCATCCAAGCATTTTGAAATAATATCAAGGTCTAATGAAAGTTTATATCAATGTTGCTAAAGAGGCGTTAAATTCGTGAACTTCAAATCACTGTCAAGTCATTGTGAATCATCAGGTGTTCGCAAGTTTCAAATATGACAACTCAATCAAAATAGTCATGTTATGTGTATGTTAATACTGATAGATGCATTGTATATATGTGTTATTCTCTGCAATATACCCCTGTATATATTAACGAAACTTTAATTCCAGCAACCTGTCTGAATTTGAATATCATAATTCCTGCCATATTCTGTTTCACTTTGACTATTTTATGTAGCTTGTATACAGATGTAAGTAATGCAAAGATTATTGATTTGTTTTCTGACCACGTACGGAATTAGTGTGTAGGGTGGGAGTCACGTTGGAGCACGAACCTTACATCTTCTGTGGTGTGATATTTGGTACAAACGTTTTACCATTAATATATTCCATTGTGCCTTCGAATGTAAATAATAATGCACTAACTACTATTTGTACACATTATACTTAATCCACAGTATTTTATGCAGTAAAGAGTAGAGAAAAGCTTCATACCTTGTCGGTTTGTTTATTCATTTCGAGTCGCACGCAGCAGTGTTCCTGGTGTGTGACGCCGCATTGACATTTCAAGCACCGCGCCAGGCCGCCGGGGGCATCGGTCACTAACGCTTACATCCGCATTTGCCTAGTCTGTCTTACAGACCCTGATACAAATATATATCAAATACAGCCCATGCAAGTCTATAATGTTTGGCAAGTCTAGATCACTGAAGAGAGTCACTGGGCTCCTTTTTATTATATTTTTTTTAAGAAAACTGAACAACTGTTTTTTTTATGTACGATATGTTCATTTCAGAGACTAGATTTTAGTTTAGCATTTGCCTTCAGTCTCATATAACCAGCGTTATGTTTCAGTGATGTCAGTTGTACATGTATGTCAGCATAGCCAACACGTTTCAAATATGTGATTGAAGCATTCCTCCGTGGAATATTGCCTACACTCTGGACTTGTTTATACATACACAAAGCATGTGACTACCGTAAAACGTGAATGCGTCTCCAAATTAATACGACTGCTGAGCCTTAGCCAAAAATGCGACTCAATATCAGTGCGATGCCCCCCACCCCTCCCCAGTGGAATGATGCATATTCTTACCTTAATAAATTAATTGTGTTGACTGGCATTAATGAAGTCATTTTGGAGACATAAATGCCAAGTTTCATTAAAGCGAACAATGACCACTCGCACTCTTATTTACACTACATTTACATTTTAATTTTCAGGTCGATACACATATGAACATAACATGTGGTCAGATATATGACTTCAATAAGAAATTTAAATAGTTAACAATATCAAAGTATCAATTGCATTCCAAAGTTATAATTTGACTTTAACATGTTAATTCACAAGAACGGAATTGAGGGACACGTTCTTAGATTGCCCTCTTCTTGGTATTTACTTTTACTTTATTTAAAAACAATTATTTTCACAATTTCAAAATTCAAAATGTGTACATACAACACTGTAGAAGAGGCAGAGAGAGGATGATGGAGAGAGAGGGGGTAGGGTTTAAACAAGAGTTTGAGTGAGTGAGTGAGTGAGTTGGGTTTAACGCCGCTTTTAACAGTATTCCAGTTATATCGCTGCGTGTCAGCTTAATGTGACCCACAATCATAGGTTTCTGGCGTGCCCAAGGGACGCAACTCTGCACAGCGAATCGCGGCGCCTAAGACGACTGGGCCACCCGTGCTCCCAACAAGAGTTTAAAGGAGATAAATGCATTTACATTTTGTTGAATGAACAGTTCTTTACACACACGTTTCAGTGATACATTTATATGTTTGACTACCTTAAATACAGCTTCATTTTCTGTAACAGTGAGTGAGTGAGTATGGTTTTACGCCGCTTTTAGCAATATTCCAGCAATAACATGGCGGGGGACACCACAAATGGGCTTCACATATTGTACCCATGTCGGGAATCGAACCCGGGTCTTCGGCGTGACGAGCGAACGCTTTAACCACTAGGCTACCCGACCGCCCCTTTTCTGTAAACAACTTGATCTGCACTGCAGTAGGTTTTCAACAGTTATGTCATGAACAATATATTTAGGTCTGTTGAACATATTTACACGCTAATGACTAAACTAAAAAATCATATATAGATTATATAATAAAATTACCACTTGAATCCATTTGAATCCATTTGAATTCCAGTAACACGTAACATAATGAATACCCTACCTTATACATCAAGATTAAGATGTGTTATTGTACTAAAGGCCTCCGGTCCATATACAAGACAGGCCTACAAAGGGTGAGGTGAAATTGGGTTTAACGTCGCGTCCAAGATTATTGCACTTATATAGCGACGTGCATGCACGTGTATGTGTGTGTGTGGCTGCTTGTACTAGTCCGGACTGATGCCGATTTATAGTGCTAGCTCACTGAGATACCATGCCGCAGTTTAACATGAATACCCCACTCAGACACAGTATACTGACTCCGAGCCGACCAGTCCTTGTTTAAGCCCCTTAATGCCGAGCGCCAGACAGGGTAACAACAAGTACAATCTTTTAACGTCTTTTTGTATGACGCGGCCCGGGATCGAACCCTGGACCTTCCGCTCTCCGGGCGGACGCTCTACCACAAGACCACGGAGGCGGTCTCCTACAAAGGGATAACATCAGTGAGTACAACACGGCTGTAGAGGTGCTGCATACAATACATCTGTGTGCAGACAATGTAACAAAGCTGTGACGTCACGATACTAAAGATTCTTTCGCCGACAAAGTGAATGGTGAACAAAGAGTGCTGAATTAGGAATTGTTTTTCCATCCTTAGACTTCAACAGAGTTTTACATGAATACAAATTTGGTAAACGCAGGTATTTCTATGGGATATATGCTTCCCTTAAATCAGTATAAACAGTGCAAGCAAACAGTATATATTATGAAATTCATCCTCTATACAAGTTTGACAGAAAGGACACAATCTCTTTGGCTTCGGAAAAAACGCTGTCGTCCTATGTTAACCATTATTTCAGATAATCCAAGGCGAAATCTTGAATACCTCAGACATGAAATACATATATCTTGAAAGTTTCATATACATTGTAATTATACATAAACATGCACCTAAAAGTTGCTCAAAGTATTTGTGTTTGGACTAGAAATACCTGATTAGTTCTTCCACTTCGAGGTCATGGTACCGAAACGTGACATACGGCCTTCAGACTACAGTTACAAAGTTAAGTTACATTTGCTGGTGAGATATTTCTGCAAGAGTGTATGTGAATCTTAGTATATTGGTTTATAAGTCTAAGAGGAAAGCAGTACAGTGTAGTTTCACGTAACATGCATAAAATGCCAATTTTGTTTTTAAAGAAACTGCAGCATTACAATTACCTCATACAAGAGTGAGTGAGTGTGTTAGGTTTTACGCCGCTTTAACCAGTATTAGAGGCCTATCACGGCGTGTCTGCTTGTTGTGGAAGGGAGCCCGATGTGATGCAGGTCATAGACGTTTGCCCCTTTGAAACCACGAGCAATGGTATATTGCTGACAATCCTTGAAACATAACCGGAGCGAAGTGGGATTCGAAACCGCGATCAAAGGTTTCTGGAGTGCAAAGGGGACGCAACTCCGCACAGCGAATTTCAGCGCCTTAAACGACTGGGCAGTCCGAGTCCCCATACACAAGACGTATATGGGATGGTACATGTATCTGTAGACAATAGCTGGGTTAAAGTAGCTAATACAAACAGGCTATCAGGGTTGTTAGGACTGATTTGTGATTGCCCAATACATATGAGACGCCCCCGAAATAGTCCTCATAAGTAACGGCTCTATAGCGAATTACCCATCCCTCCGCCATAACCTTTTTTTTTAATTCGACAGATATTTTACGTGACCGTTTCTTTTTGTGAAGTGAGTGAATGTTGTTTGAGGCCGCAGTTAGCAATGTTCCATCTGTATCGCGACGACCTGTTTAACATAACATCTGGACCAGGGTCCACTTGCACGAAGCGATCTTAGCGCTAAGATGATCTTAACTCCCATACTTTAACATAGGCTTACAATGGTCTTAGCGCTTAGATCGTTTTGTGCAAGTGGGCCCAGGTGAACGAGTGAGAGCATGAACAATGATCCACGACATGGGGTACGACTTTAGTGCAGAATGGTCCTGATTCAGTTTACTGTGGACATTGCTCAGAAATACTCTCAACATTTTTACAAGACTAGACCTGGAACATATCCATCCATGGAATCCACTCAGAGATAGAATGAGATATGAGGCAACATGGCGTTACATGAGAGTCTGCACGACATCGGTGTCGGAAAACTGATCCAGCCAAGTAAAACGTCTCTCCTCTTGTAACTTACGACTAGAACACGATGTGTATTTGAACGTGCATAAACAGATGCCTTGGTCCAGATATATACTTTCCAATAATATAATACTTTCTCAGTACCCCATATACGTCATGTCTCACTACGACGAGGCGTTTTATGGATCGGGTGGTCAAGTTGGGTGACTTCCGTGTCGTTGTACCCCGACGGCGTGGTTCGATACTCATAATATCAATCACATTATTTACAGACCGACGCCATATTACTAGAGTATGGCTTTAAGCAACACCGATCAAAATTTTATCCAGAGTTCAACACGGTCACTGAGCTCGTTGTCTGAGTGGTACGTCTGATTTTTCTCCTAATTGAGCTGTGTTAACTAGAACTTGTTATATAACCACGGATCATGGACTGGATAACTGAATATATAATAACTAAATTGTATTGGCGCAGACCGAGCATAATCAATGTCACGAAGAAAAATGTAGATATAAATAATTCAGAAGAGGTAATCCAATAACACAATATCTCAGACACGCACATCTCACAATGACACGTAAACACTGGTGTAAACAGCATTGTCTTCAGAGCGGCAGTCAGTGAATAGAAAAGGCAGAAATCATATTTCAATCAATCTTTATTCAAGTACTTTGGCGGCCACAGGCCTATATTAGATATCACAGATGTGTTGCACACAATTTTTACTATTATTTTCAAGTTTGGGTCCATATAACAGCGTGTTGTACATAAGCGGACAGGTTTTGAATTGTTAATGTATCTAGATTATTTAACAGTTTTCGGAATTTCACAATATTCATGAAAGGATTATACAGGAATAAACATTTTTTTCTCAGTGGAGTACAATTGACATACCAGTAAAAAGTTATATTCATCCTAATTAGCTAGGATATTACATATTTTTACATAATCGTTATGACCAGGGAGTCCATGCATATCGCCCACCCTCATGGGATGAACATCGAAACCATGCCAATGAATAACAATATTTCTTAATATGTACATCTCACAGATATTTTTCAGTATACATATGTTTGAGTTTTCAACATTCTATGATATATTTTATATATATTTATATATGTTGGATAATGTCAAAGGTAATGATCACGATTGCAGATAAAAAAAATTAGCCTCTGTAGAAAAGACTTGATAAATACACTTTCACATTGTGCATACCACTATTGCACAGCAATATTTTCACACCCAGTTATTCTTTCCACTCGCATCACATAACATCATAATACTATTGTTACATTTCGTTGTGTATCTTGATGAATGTATTTTTCCGGAGTTTCAGTCAGTACTTTACACCTCTTAGTTGTGAATAATGAGTGAGTGAATGAGTTGGGCTTAACGCCGCTTTTAACGGTAGTCCAGTTATATCGCTGCGTGTCAGCTTAATGTGGGAGGAAAGCCCGAAGTTGTGCAGGTCTTAGACGTTCACCACTTCGGTGAAACCCACGAGCACGAGTATGGTGCTGACAAACCTAGAAACATAATCGGGGCGAACCGGGATTCGAACCCACAATTATATAGGTTTCTGGCGTGCCTAAGGGACGCAACTCTGCACAGCGAATCGCGGCGCCTTAGACGACTGGGCCACCCGTGCCCCCTGTGAATAATGAATAGAGGATATCTACGACAATCGCCACAAACCATTGCGTTAGATGTGCTGATTTTTACACCAAGAAATCTTTTATATGCACTCAAGTCTATCTTTTCGACATCATTGGAGTGTTGTAATCCCCATATTTCAGCACCGTACATTAAGATTGGGTTAATTTTAAAATAGAAATTCTAAAAGAATGACTTGTAACTTATATCTCCAATAATCTTTATATTCTTCATTACACCAAATAAAACTTTCTTGGCCTGGGTAAAAAGGTGAGGTGAAATTGGGTTTAACGTCGCGTCCAAGATTATTGCACTTATATAGCGACGTGCATGCACGTGTATGTGTGTGTGTGGCTGCTTGTACTAGTCCGGACTGATGCAGATTTATAGTGCTAGCTCACTGAGATACCATGCCCCAGTTTAACATGAATACCCCACTCAGACACAGTATACTGACTCCGAGCCGACCAGTCCTTGTTTTAGTCCCTTAATGCCGAGCGCCAGACAGGGTAACAACAAGTACAATCTTTTAACGTCTTTTTGTATGACGCGGCCCGGGATCGAACCCCGGACCTTCCGCTCTCCGGGCGGACGCCCTACCACTAGACCACGGAGGCGGTTGTTTCACGTTAGACGACTGGGCAATCCGTGTCCCTTGCCAATACCAGAGTAATGTGGCTTCATATCGATTGATAATATTTACAACGCTTGGGCCTCTAAAGCATTAAGCGTGTTCCTTCTCATGTGTCACTCGCAAGTCATTGAAATATTACACTTTGTCAAGTTTTTTAATGTAATATTTTTGCAACCCACGAACACTAGTATCGCGTGGACAAACCTAGAATAAGAGCGACCTCGGATTCAAAATGACGATCCTTTTTTGGCTTAACTCTTCACGGCGATTAGCGTCCTTATAGGCGACTGGGCCATCCATGCCCCCTGTTTAATTGTTATATTATTATCCTACTGAAAGAGCCACAACGTAGAGAAGACCGGGAGAATTATGTTAGTGTCCCTCGCTACGTACGTGTAAATCACCGGTGTGATTACTCCACAGTCCATACATCAATACAACCAGTAGAGTCGAGGTCAAACTCTGCCCCATGGGCTGTGCACGAGACATATACTGGTATATCACCTTGCGCAAACCCATCAGATGAATTCGATATTGTGGTCGTCCTTTAGATTTATGTAGACTTTTGAGTTTAATTATGCATGTTCCCAATAAAATGACAATGAAAAGAATTAAAAAATAGAAACACCAAGTTGTTTATAAAAACGCAAACTGGAAAACCACTGTCAACTACCACAGCAACAGAGCGTCCGTTTGCCACATTACCGCTGTGATTTAAGGTCAAGTACACAGATGTCCAAATTCTTCTACAGTCTGGGAATATCCACATTCCAGTGACATGAGGAAGCACACGTTTTCAATAAATGATCATGACAAACCTCAAAGTAACATCTCATAATATCGTGAAGATAATCGAATGTATGCCGACACAAATATACATATTCATAACTCAATATAAAATCATATTTTTCAACCATACCGTATTGTACAAATTGTGCGAGACTAAAATCCTGTGACACTGAAAAACAAATTAATTTAAACAAATTGTATATATGTTAACACATCACGAATGAAACACAGACTGGATACTGTAGAGTATGATGGTCCAAGATGGGTATGGTTTGATCGCTTTGTTGTTGTCTGTTGGGGTACCGTGCTTCATACAGATTGTGAAGCATGTGTTTACGCTTCCTATTCACAGGCAATTCAGTAATGTTCAGTTAAATTAGATGTTACGTCTCTGATGTGTGACATGGGACATCACAAACATTGATAAACACCAACCTATTGATAGTTTAAAGTTGTCCAAGCAGAGGGATTCGTTTCATGAAAACCTGCATGATAACTGGATTCGTGAGCGGTACACGAGACTTGAGGACTGTGAGTCTCCCGAGAAGGAAATTATAACTACCTGGTATCACTGATGTGATCGAGTATGACACACGAACAACGTTCATCACAATGTGCTGACACGGATTCCTTATTAAATCATTTTGGAACCTTTCTGAGTCCGATACCTGAATCTCGAGACAGCTTGAACACTGCACAACATTCTAATCACGACACATGTACGGGAACTGTATTTTACGTTCTTTGTCACATGTAAACACACATCCAAATATCATGAAAGAAACACGGAATAGATTATGCAGAGGATGGTTAATAGCCCGACATAGGAAGGCCTACTGGCACAGGAGAGTTGCTGTTTGTTTTGGGTTCCAGTTGACGTCACATTACAGAAATCGCCCGAGTAGGGAGTGACACACCCAAGATGGCATACCCCGGTCTCCTGAATACAAGTTCCATGTTTACAATGGTCCGGACACGTCTCATTGCACACGGAACCATGAAACCCTGTGCTGCAGTGTGTGTCACAGACACCAGTTTTTTTGTCACATGTCTCTGCACATCCGGGAGGGCACATTTGATCGCACGTGCTTCCGTAGTACCCAGAATTACACTTATAGCAGTGACCGGTTCGATCACAGGTTTTTGAAATACTTTTTACACACTCTCTGCCACAGCTGTGGTTACAGCTTCGCCCATAACAATACTCCGTACACATGGAACACACTCCATCTTTGTCCGGCATTACACACCCATAGTTTGCACAGTCAGAGGATGCCCCTGTAAAATTAAAATATAATGTGAAAGAACAAGGATCACACCACACACAAAACAAGGATCATAAGTACAAAATGAACAAGGATCACACCACACACAAAACAAGGATCATAAGTACAAATATATCAGAAATATAATTTGTAGATAAGAGTGTACTCCAGTATTTGTACCACACTATGTTCAGTACATGATGTAGGGGCACGGGTGGCCCAGTCGTCTTAGCCCCGCGATTCGCTGTGCAGAGTTGCGTCCCTTGGGTACGCCAGAAACCTATGATTGTGGGTTCGAATCCCCATTATGTTTTTTTAGGTTTGTCAGCACCATATCCGTGCTCGTGGGTTTCACAGAAGTGGTAAACGCCTGAGACCTACATCACTTCAGGCTTTCCTCCCACATTAAGATGACACGCCGCGATAAAACTGGAATACTGTTAAAAGCGGTGTTAATTCCAACTCACTCACTCACTCACTATACACAATATACGTGAATAGACATATAAACATATACAGAAGAAACGACTGCAATTAGTTACTAGACAGTCTTTTCTGAACATTTCACACATGGTACATATATATACATGCGGTATCATTCATCAGTCATGGTACATGACACTTGGTGATAACTGTCTCGTACAGTACACTCAACGATTTTGTTGAAACATTCATGGATATTTTATGGATTTCTCTCTTTTGCTTCAGTAGAGGACAGACTGTCGACATGTAACATTCAATGGGTTATTTAACAATATCGAAAGTACGACACAAACTATTATCAAAACCACGATCGAATTAAACGTCATGTGTGTATATTCAGCCCCGCAATCATGTTGGCGATCTCAACAGACAATATGTAGAGCGTGGAGTGGAAAGTTTCCCCGCATCGAAATATCAGCCAATTTCAATGGCGGTTAATCGTCAGGGAGGGTATCACAGTTTGCGTGTCGCGGTAGCCCGACTCCCGGAGCAGGAATGGATTACTGTGATATAGTTCGTAGCCCGACTCACGTGCCATGTTTCTCACGGTGATTGTACAGTTTACAGACAAATAGGGCTCACGACAGTAACTGACATCACATGTCTCATGTCTCGCGGAGGTCATGTATCAATAACCGATAAAATATGCTAGCTTCTTACCTTTTCCCACCCCCAGCACACACACGAACCAGAAGAAGTACTGCATGCCTAGTTTCTACACCCTCATCGCAAGGACTGTGTGGAGAAATCCCGCAAAAATCGCAATATATTAGTGGGAAATTCCTATTCTATAAATACTAAAACGAAAGTTGAATGGCGCTTGGTAAATTACAGCATGAGTGAAACACGTCATTATCGTTTAAAGTAGCGGCTCAGACAGTGTATTAAAAACAATCTTTAAAGCTGAAATATCACATTTTGTAGGTAGTATAATGTCGATTCTTTATCCTATGTTTTTGTGTATTCTGAGGAATCTTTCAATCACAGAAACAATTTCGCATTTTTTTTAATGTATTGTTGTATGTTTTTTAATCGTTTATGTATTCATCATTCCCTAGCACCACGCAATGAACCCTCTTCCCGACCTACAGTGTAATAATACGTAGCACACTGGAAAGTAGATTTGAAGAAATTGTCTGGTTTCCAGTTCTCTTTGCGCTGCGAGATTATTGTGACCTCTTCCGGAATACTAAGAATTCACGTTTGTTTAACGATGTGTCCGCTCAGTACAGGGTCAAACATAATATAGTTTGGTATAGGTTTTGAGCAATCCATACAAATAAATATTGGAACAGTAGTCTTGATCCCTCGTCTTAATGTGTAACGCCTCCGTGGTCTAATGGATGGAGCGTCTTCTCGGAGAGCGGTTAAATCCCAGCCTGGGGCATGCCAAATATGTTAATGGAACTTGTTGTTACTCTGCCTGGCGCTGTGTCGTCTGCTTGAGGTATCAATCTTAAAGTGTGGCATGGTATCTCAGTGGGTTAGCCCTTTACAACCAGTCCGGACATAGACAGACAGACACACACACAGACACGCACACACACACACACACAGAGACAGACAGACACACAAACAGACAGACATACATACTGACAGGCAGACAGACACACAGACACAGACACACACATGCACACACAGACACAGACACACACAGGCACACACCGACACACAAACAGACACACAGACACACACACACAGAGACAGACAGACAGGAAGGCAGACAGACAGACACACAGACAGAGACACACACACACATGCACCCACAGACACAGACACACACAGACACAGACCCACACACAGACACACACAGACACACACAGGCACACACAGACACACACACACGCACGTCGCAATATCTTGAACGTAACACTAAACCCCATCCCACACCACGCACTTTACCTTAAAGTGCCATTCTTATCAACAGGGAAGTAAATTACGCGCACGCCTCAACTAGGTCAAATGTACGACCGTTTTCATAGCTCAGTTGTAGCCTATTCTCCACCAGGAGAATGCTACAGGGAATACACGCCCACAGATAAAACCACCTGGGTTTACCAATATAACTCTGAATATTTCAGTCTCCGAAATAATGTTTGCGTCCTCGTTGCCCATTTCCCCAAAATGTGTGTATTTCCCGTAAATGTTTTATCACTCGTTTATAACGTATATCCTACGTCCAGATAAACCAGGGCAGGACAAAGGGCCTTAATGTACTTTCCTAACACTCTGCTTGTTACGCAACTTCTGCATACACACTGGGGCACGGGGACACGGGGGCACGGGGACACGGGGGCACGGGGGCACGAGGGCACGGGGACACGGGGGCACGGTGGCACGGTGGTTTGTCCTTTGCGCAGAATTGTCTAAAACCTGACACCACACGCCGTGATATAACTTAAACAACTCACTCTCAAAAAAGGGGAAGATAACGAATCATGAATATATATGGCCTTTCTACCTGCCACGACGTATAAACACCCTCCAGATGTAGCCTCATTATTCGTGTCACGTTAAGTTCGAAAAGCCTTGTTCCCAGTAAAGGACTCGCTTAGCGGGAAAACAGTTAATAGACACAGAGACAAATGCAAATGAGTTAAATTGAGTGAGTGATTGAACACTAATACATCAAACTTAAAATAAAAATAGCCATATAAATGAGTGAGTGAGTGAGTTGGGTTTTACGCCGCTTTTAACAGTATTCCAGTTATATCGCGGCGTGTCAGCTTAATGTGGGAGGAAAGCCCGCGAGATGCAGGTCTTAGACCTTTACCACTTCTGTGAAACCCACGAGCACGGGTATGGTGCTGACCAACCTAGAAACATAATTGGGGCGAACCGGGATTCGAACCCACAATCATGTCAATGAGTATGATGCCAGTAGACCAAGAGCACAGCGTTACATAAATGCATCATTGTGAGCATTCATATTGTTTACAGGTCACTTCCCTGATTGAGAATATAGTACATGTTTTAGGTAACGAGAACTTTGTGTCTATCTTCTCAAATGACATTGCATCGCCAGTGCCGGTGTCACGAAAAATATTCGCCCCCAGAATAAAATCTCCCCCCGGCGAATTCATACCGGTACAGTTCCGCCCCTCTCGAAATAAACTCTCCCCCACCCTACGAAATAAAATCTCCCCCCAGAATATTTCCTCCCCCGGTCGTTTTATAAATACTCCCACCTTTCCTTTCGTTTTTCATAATAATATATTTTTAAGTTGTATATAACGTATGAATCCCTTCTCAGATCACTTTATCTCATTTCTATATGACGTACTATTTTACTTCTCTGTGTTGTTCTTGTTTTCTCTTCAGTATGACGTTATACTGTATCATTTTTACTATTTTGATATTTAGCAATATGTTGTGGTCATCAGTTATGCAAATCAGATTCGGTGATTCTTTTTAACAAGATGTTCGTCATTAATATTCACCGCCAGCCCCATTGTGACAATTACATGTACACTTTGCTTTGACGATGCCGGTTGATGTTGTTCAATACAGGTGTTTTTGAATCTATTCTACATGTTAATCATTTCGGGAAGATGATACACATTTCTCTATATTTGAGGTTACTTTGCTTATAAAGATTATACATATAAACGTACGCAGTCTTAGTAGATTTTAAAGTAGATTTAATCAGTGCTGAATAAGATTGTTATGATGTTGTATGTTTAACAGAAACCTGGTTGCACCATGATATTCTAGCCACTGGTATTACACTGATACCATTTTCAAATCGTAGCCTGTATTAAGGAATATATTTTAGATCTTAAATCAGAGTATAACGGCGTGGATATGTTGACAGATTTTACGTAGTTAGTGTTAAAACCGAATGTTTATAATTATACATACAACCTTGACAAGTTATTAACCGATCTGCACACATAAAATATTGTTTATTCTGTTAGGAATTTTAGCCCCTGACCGCGTGGACTTGTATCCATGTCACGTGAATAAAACAAAGTTATAAAAAACATGTCGGATATTCTGCTCTGTAATATAACACATAATCTGGTACAGATTCCTCTCCCACAGGCAAAGGTAGAGCTCGAATGCCACTTTAAACACCTTCATACCTGTTTAAAGTCTTGTACCACTGCTGTATAATCCCTGTATCACTGTATATGCCTCTATACCTGTTTAAAGTCTTGTACCACTGCTGTACAGGTTACACACAACCAAATGTTTTCCCATAGACTTCTATAGTAGCGTTATATATATTTTTTTAAATAACTAAGCATTCAACAGCTATTACCTGTACGTGTGTGCACAGTTTGGCCTTAGAGCAGCAATAAAAAAATAAAAAATGACTAGCTTAGTCAGCTCCTTTTCCGAGTACCGGAAGCTAAACACAACACCCCCAGTTTCGCACCAAATGTGATCACCTACTTGAAAATAGCTGTGGTCACATTCAGCATGAGTCATCATGTTGAAAAATACAGTACTAAATATAGAAAAACATGGTCAGTTTTACTAACTGGATGGATCTACATTTGAAAGACATAAAAATCTTACAGAATATCCTCCAATCACAGCCTGCAGATATCTCTCGATCTGCACTGAAGGCTACGAAAACCGCACTCTCCAAACTGGTACTGATTTGGTGTAGTAGAACCTGTATAATCCCTGTATCACTGTTTATGCCTCTATACCTGTTTAAAGCCTTGTACTTCTGTATGATCCTTGTACCATTCTATAAACATCTATACCCCTTTTCAAGCCTTACTGCACCGTATAACCTGTACCACTTTATACACCTTCATACATGTTTAAATCATGTTTAAAGCCTTGTACCTCTGTATAATCTCTATGCCATTCCATAAACCACTATACCCTGCTTAAAGCCTTGTACCACTGTATAATCTCTATACCATTCAATAAACCTATATACCCTGCTTAAAGCCTTGTACCACTGTATAATCTCTATACCATTCAATAAACCTCTATACCCTGCTTAAAGCCTTGTACCACTGTATAATCCCTACATCACTTGATGCACATCTAAATCATGTTAAAGCCTTGTACCACTGCTGTGTAATCCCTGTACCATTCTATAAACCTCTATACCCCGTTTAATTGTACCACTGTATAATCTCTATACCATTCCATGAACCTCTATACCCTGCTTAAAGCCTTGCACCGCTGTATAATCCCTACATCACTTTATGCACAATCATCTAAATCATGTTTAAAGCCTTGTACCACTGCTGTGTAATCCCTGTATCCCATTATATGCCTCTATACCCCGTTTAAAGCCTTGTACTTCTGTATAATCTCTATGCCATTCCATAAACCTCCATACCGTGCTTAAAGCCTTGTACCACTGTATAATCATTATACCATTCCATAAACCTATATACCCTGCTTAAAGCCTTGTACCACTGTATAATCCCTACATCACTTTATGCACATCTAAATCATGTTTAAAGCCTTGTACCACTGCTGTGTAAATCCCTGTACCATTCTATAAACCTCTATACCCTGTTTAAAGCCTTGTACCACTGTATAATCCCTACATCACTTGATGCACATCTAAATCATGTTTAAAGCCTTGTACCACTGCTGTGTAATCCCTGTACCATTCTATAAACCACTGTATAACTCCTGTATCACTTTATACACTTTTATATGCGTGCTTAAAGCCTAGAAACGCTGTTTAATTCCTGTGTCACTTTATACACCTCTATATCATGTTTAAGGCCTCCCACCACTGTGTAAGCCCTGTACCACTTTCAAAACCTCTCTTCCCTGTTTAAAATCTTGTACAACTGTATAATTCATGTACCACTTTATGCACATCTATAACCTTTTTAAAGCCGGATACTACGCAGTCTGTATAATTTCCGATCTAATGCAAGAGAACACATTCCTATCAAGCCCAGAAAAAAATAGAAACTTTGATCAACGACGTTTGTTATCTATCCGATTAGTACCTGGGGCAGTGCTTGTTTTCACACGTTTGCTACCGTGTGGGACCCGCACACAACATACTATCCCATGTTAGTATATTGATTGCACCAGCACAGGACAGAGGACATGGCTGGACGACGCAATTTGTTCTTGATATTGCTGAGTCTCAACTTAACAGCCGGTAAGAAATTTAGTATAGTTGTGTGTTATACGAGCAATAGTGTCAGGAGATGTTTCCTTACATATTTTAACTCTGAACCACATAAAGCGCACGCATGGAGTGATAGGATATGTTTCTTCTTATCCTTTAACATTGAACCAACTCACTCAGCCAATGTGATGTGACATGGATTCTCTCATAATTTAGCATTGAACAACCACATGAAGCCAATACATTAAATGATATGACAAACCGTCACACACTAGTCTCGGTCACCTGTTCATGATGCTGTTCATGATCTAGATTCACGTTCACCTCACTAACTTCTTCATGATGATGGCTGTCTATATTCCACATTAACACAAGTACGTGTGCATTATCACACACTAGACTCGGTCACCTGTTCATGATCTAGATTCACGTTCACCTCACTAACTTCTTCATGATGATGGCTGTCTATATTCCACATTAACACAAGTACGTGTGCATTATCACACACTAGACTCGGTCACCTGTTCATGATCTAGATTCACGTTCACCTCACTAACTTCTTCATGATGATGGCTGTCTATATTCCACATTAACCCAAGTACGTGTGCATTATCACACACTAGACTCGGTCACCTGTTCATGATCTAGATTCACGTTCACCTCACTAACTTCTTCATGATGATGGCTGTCTATATTCCACATTAACACAAGTACGTGTGCATTATCACACACTAGACTCGGTCACCTGTTCATGATCTAGATTCACGCTCACCTCACTAACTTCTTCATGATGATGGCTGTCTATATTCCACATTAACACAAGTACGTGTGCATTATCACACACTAGACTCGGTCACCTGTTCATGATCTAGATTCACGTTCACCTCACTAACCTCTTCATGATGATGGCTGTCTATATTCCACATTAACCCAAGTACGTGTGCATTATCACACCACACACTAGACTCGGTCACCTGTTCATGATCTAGATTCACGTTCACCTCACTAACTTCTTCATGATGATGGCTGTCTATATTCGACATTAACCCAAGTACGTGTGCATTATCACACCACACACTCGACTCGGTCACCTGTTCATGATCTAGATTCACGTTCACCTCACTAACCGCTTCATGATGATGGCTGTCTATATTCCACATTAACCCAAGTACGTGTGCATTATCACACACTAGACTCGGTCACCTGTTCATGATCTAGATTCACGTTCACCTCACTAACCTCTTCATGATGATGGCTGTCTATATTCCACGATTAACCCAAGTACGTGTGCATTATCACACACTAGACTCGGTCACCAAGTTATCACCTGTTCGTGATGTACTTCTCATTTCAAGGTAACGCAATGTGTTGTCGATGGTGACACACTCAAACTGAATGTTGTATTCATTGTACGATATCTTTTAAGAGTAGATACTGTCAGTGAATAGAAAAAACATGAATGCACTTGCAATACTATTTCAAAACACTTCATTTTTATTTCGCTAGCTATGATCACAACAGAAAGGTCCTTTTCATGATATAACATGCGGTATGTGAACTGGAGGTCAACGTAATCAACTGAATGAACTTATATCGGATACCAATATGTGTTCACTTGCTTGAGATTAAATGTGATATTTATGCCCAAACACATGGAGAAACATACATAACACAAATACTGTTTTTTAGAATAATTATTGTGAATTATACCGGATGTTTGCATTGTCTGCAAGCGCGGATACAACGTGTATTAAATTTGTGTGTTAAACAAAGTGTGTTGAAAGTATATGACCAAATGTTGCAGAATATATTAACGTTTACCTTGGTAAAAAAACAGGAAAGTATACCACGGACTTCGCGTATGCGTTGTTAGGTCATCCAAGGTCAAGAACGAACATACCAGTGTCTACCTATTATTGTTATTTGTTAACAATTAATCAAAACTGGCAGAGGTATAATCTCCCTATCACCTGAAGCGAAACATGGTTCTATACAAAATGATACTAAGATTGTGACAAATTTAAATGCTCCTCCCTAATCACCAAGTGATATTGATGACACAAGCGCTTCGCGAAACGGAGCAGCATGTCGTATCCTGCCAGAAGTACACAAGTGCGTTGAGGACATCTTCCCGAGGCAAGACTATATAAGTACAGTTTCCACCCTTGCCGAACTAGTCTGGTATTATGGAGTTACATTTTGACTGGACTAACGAGTCTATGCATAGTCCAATCAAAATCGCGCACCGAAATCGAAATCCGGTTCGTAAACCGTCGTGCAGATTTCGGTCGATTGCAGGATTTGCAAATGATATGTACCACCAACTCGTTGTCAGCCGATATTTACCAAATCTTTTTTATGTTTTTAATCAAGGTACTCGCGTGATTTGATGCATTTCGCGATGAAAGACCCGTTTTATCACAATATAGATCTTGATTATCGATCAGATCGTCCTGTCTGGGCGCAACCATTTTGTGTGAAGCAAACGCAAGTGATACGAGAGGTGGAATCTGATTGGTCCATAGGAGATGTTTAGACGGGACATAGCTGGTAATAGCCACTGGTGGCGCTACGATCGAGCCCAGTAATTCCAGCCTAGTTCGGCAAGGGTGGAAACTGGACTTTTAAAGTCAGTTAACTATCTTGCCTCGGGAAGATGACTCTCTTGCCTCGGGAAGATGGTTTAGGATAAGGTTACAATAGAGGTGACCTTAGATTATGTCATGGAATTAGTTCCCACTGACGTAATTGTGGTTGACTGAATCCTTTTTAACCCGCCACACGGAGCGTTACTCCCACAGTACAGCAAATAAACACATATTTTATAAAAGGAGCATGGTGACATGACCAACGCTGGTGACATGATATAATTTCCGAATTTCTCATCATTGACAGACATGATTAATTTCATTCTGATGTATTGAGTAAAGAACATATTCTTATTAAACATGTGTCAGTGTTAATGAGACCATAGGAGAAACTGTTGGTTCGTGAATAAGTATCGCCGAGTCCCTCAAGGGCGAATCTTATTTACGAGCCGACATTAGAAGTATGTTCTCCAACTTAAGACACATCCCAACTTTCTCAGACGTTTACCACATCGGTGAAACCCACGAGCATGGTGAGCACGGGTATGGTGCTGACAAACCTAGAAACATTATCGAGGCGAACCGGGATTCAAACCCACATCCATAGGTTTCTGGCGTGCCCAAGGGACGCAACTCTGCACAGCGAATCGCGGCGCCTTAGACGACTGGGCCACCCGTGCCCCCCGGAAAATATTTGAAACATAAACCAGAATCTTTTGAAGTCTATTTTTGTACCGAGCGAGTCAACCCTTGCATGCTTGAAGTATCAAATGAAGACCACTATGCACGTGCTGCGAGCTCCGTCTCGAGTTCGAGTTCATCTATACAATGCATGACACAAGTTTCCTTACTGTTTTACGGGGCCCTAACCGAGTATTTTATTAACAGCTTGCATGGTTTTCGTACAAGGTGAAGGGGGTAAGTACAGTCATACCAACACGAGCTCTATTGTTTGTCCCAGTGTTCATATCCGTGAATGGTTAGTTCCAATCTGTCGACTTTCTGATTTTTAAGTCAACTGTACAATACATGAAAATATATTCCTTAACCGGGACCTTAAAATAATATTCTATCCAAACTATACACGTAACCATCTGCACACAAATAGCTACCACCGAGAGATGTAGGAATGAACGTGTCGCCCAATTGTAAAGAAATGATACTGTCCACCAGTATCTTAATAATACCTAAAGTACTCACTCACTCACTCACTCACTCACTCAAACTGTATGCTGGGTTCATGGTTCGATATCTCAAAGGGGGCATAAAAGATGAGAAAAGCATGACTGCACTGGAAATTCGACCATTTAAGCTGCTTCATGCCTATCTCGCTAGCTATGCTCACAATAGCAAGGTCGTTGACTCTGCTGAGAACATGTGGTATGTAAACTTGAGGTCAGCAGTCACTGAAGGCAGTTGACAAGACTTGAATAAATATTGATTCAGACTACTTATATGTGTTTATCATCGTGCCTGGAACGAACCGAATATGCTAAAGGCTAAAGTCCAACTGATAAACAACCACGTATGGAAAATATGTTTTATTCCCCCAGCACTGAAATGTTAAAATATTTATTTTGGTATTTTACATGTATATTTGTCATGGTAGTTTGTTTCTTATATCTCTCTTCGATATTCAACCATCAAAGATGTCTGACAGTTTTACACAGATTTCATGTGCACGAGGGATGAGAACCGCCTCACGGTTGTGATTCAGTGAGTGAGTGAGTTGGGTTTAACGCCGCTTTTAACAGTATTCCAGTTATATCACGGCGTGTCAGCTTAATGTGGGAGGAAAGCCCGAAGTGATGCAGGTCTCAGACGTTTACCACTTCGGTGAAACCCAAGAGCACGGGTATGGTGCTGACAAACCTAGAAACATAATTGGGGCGAACCATGATTCCAACCCACAATCATAGGTTTCTGGCGTGCCCAAGGGACGCAACTCCCTTCGCACAGCGAATCGCGGCGCCTTAGACGACTGGGCCACCCGTGCCCCCGGTTGTGATTCAGTCACACGGAGGTCACACGGAGGTCACACGGAGGTCACACAAGGTGTTGATAAATGATTGAAGGCCCTGTCAAAGGAGGCGTGAAACAAGAGTTACTCACTCTTATGTCACTGTGCTGTTAACAGTCATGTTACGTCCCATTTACTCCCAAAATGTTATAATTGCGTCCATCCATATGCCATACATGTAAATACAACTGACATAATTATTGGTTTTTGGGCGAATTGTGAATTATACTCTAAAAAAGTATTGAATCATTAAATATAAAATTTAATGTTAATACCAAGTATCAGAACAAAGATAACATCCTATGCAAGAACGTTTATGTCAGTAAAACGTAACACCAAACACATCCTATAGTTTGCACGTGCCTCATGCAGTAGCGCCACTCACGCCGTCGGGTGTCATTGCAGATTTTGACACTTTCAAGGAAGGTCGATCAATCTCTGTAGACCATCATTTCTGTCAATATCATTGATTCTGCTTAGCATATAGTTGTGATTTACCAGACAATGTTTCACAGTATGTGATAAGCAGACTATGAAACAGGTATTGACAAAACCAAAATGTTGACGGTAGGCCCCTTTCAGGACATCCCAGGTCAACGACAAGAGTACAGAATCGATTTATCGGAAACCATGCTCTACGAAATCGGGTTCAAACGGTGAATCAAACTTTCATCAGGCGACTGGAGTGCGAGTTACGGGTCAGATGATTAGAAATCTTCTACATGCAGTTCGTTTTCATGCTCGACGGCAGCATGTTTTGTCGTCCCGTACAAATCGATAAATTGCCAATTGTCGTCAATGGTGAACACAGCGTTGGATTAATCGTCGCTAGTAATGACACATATTTTCAGATGAGTCCCAATTCAAGTTCCACTTCCTTGATAGGCGCGGTCGTGTCTGACGAGGTCGAAACGAACGTCAAGCCAATGTCAACCTGAGACATCATGACAGATTTAGCGGTGGATCGGTTAAGATGTGGGGTAGCATCACTATGACTAACCGAACCCCACTCCATAAATTGTAAGGAATGGTCGCTGAACAGTACTATCGGGACAACATTCTGGCACCCTTTTTTGTCCCGTTCGCAAGGTGTGTGGGTCGACGTTTTTGTCTTTCAGGACAACGCCCTTGCTTGCCGTGCACGAATCGCCAATGTTCGCTTGCAGCAGCAAAACACGCATATAGTATGTAGTATGTCATGGCCAGCATTGATCCCAGGCTTCCCCCAGGCCAGGCGCTGCAAGAGGAGTGGGACAGACTCCCTCAAATCGCCACTGGCAGACTCATACGCATTTTGCGTCGTCTTTTGAATGAATGTTTGACAAATCGTGTCGGCATTACACACTACGATCCCAAAACGTCAAATTTAAAATCTTCTTCAAGATCGTTGCCTACTTCATTGCCGGTTGTGATGTTTTCCCATTTCGTTCATTATTAATATCATACAACTATTTCTAGAAACTATTAATATGTCTTGCGATTTTGAAAATTTTAATTATTTTTTAGTATATCCTACTTTTCTTGAAGAGGAAAAAAATACTTTTTCAATGTCTGCAAATGCGGATACAAAGTGTTTTAAATTTGGCAATTATCGTGTACTCGGGCACTAGTCTGTCTGGCCACGCTCGACTATTTACAGGCCGGCGTTATATATGATTTGTAGCGACAATACTCACTTAATGCAAAGAAACGATAATGTAAGATCTGATACCATCAGTTTCAAGCGAAGGGGGTTGGGCCACTCACACGGGAGTCTCCCGTCATGACGACTATTTAGGGTTGTTTCAAATTTTGGGTTAAAGGTCAGTCTCATCATACAAAGTGCCAACTGACACGCGCCAGCATCGGCTTCTTTAGTCCTATTGTTTTACCATCTGATATAATCTCAACCGTAAGATAATTGTTGTTTCGTCAACAATCTTTCGCTACAAAAATATTTTCAAAATATTAACGTTTAGTCATAATCGACCTGAAATACATTCCCTTACAAGCCAATGTGATAAAATAAACATGTTTTATAACTTTCAAATTTCTCCAGCATATGTCCACAACTGCAGTTTGAAGACAATGTGTCAGCGTGTTTCGATGTCTTAGCAGGACAAATGCGTCAAATGGCTAAAATATAGCTTACTGTTGAGATAGACATTGATTCAATTGACATTTTCAAACTACTTTCCTTTCTCTGACATAACATTTTACTCTTTATGATATCTATTTAACCATAGTGTGGATTATATAAGTGAGAGTTTCAACGCTGCCTTTAACATTATTTCAGTCACATCGTAGCGTCTCAGCCTGTTGTGGGAGGAAAACCCTAAGTGATGCAGTTCTCAGACGTTTATCACTTTGCCGACAAACATAGAAGCATTACCAGAGAGAACTTGAGATTCGATACCTACAATAATAGGTTGCCGGTACGCCTAAAGGGCGCAACTATGCAGAGCGAATTGTGGCGTCACAGGCGACTGGGGCTAACCTTAGTTACATCTCAATCATACTTCGTCAGCGATAGCCAAAGATTATTACATTTTGAAACACACTTTATAACTTTACCATACAGCTTTTATCGTGACATACTGTAACATGTTCAAATTCTCCGTGGAACTAATTTAACTTCGGGGGTTCGGATATATTGGTACATGGGTGTATACAATGATAGAACAAAGTCGCCTCAATGTTCTTTGTCAATGTGTGTCAGGCTGTCATCATCATCATCATATGCATCATCATCATCATCATCATCATGGACATTTTTACACAATCTGTGAAACATCCGCGACAACTTTGCAATGTAAATGTGCATGTTTATTTGTTCCATCTGACCTTGCTTATACATAGGACGGGGCGGTCGGGTAGCCTAGTGGTTAATTATAAAGCGTTCGCTCGTCACGCCGAAGACCCGGGTTCGATTGCCGACATGGGTACAATGTGTGAAGCCCATTTCTGGTGTCCCCGCCGGGATATTACTGGAATATTGCTAAAAGCGGCGTAAAACCATACTCATTCACTAACTATACATAGAACTCCTGCTATGTTTTATGACAATGCTTCATACGTAATAGAAAATACATGAACATCAACCCAGTATCATCTGGATATTTTAAAATCTTAATACATGTTTTATGATAATGCTTCATACGTAATAAAAAATGCCCTCTCGAATCAGTTCAGATTTTGTATCTTACGTAAAACATCCGACATGAGCGTCAACACAGTATCATCTGGCTTTCTCCCAGTTGTTCACATAACGCTACAATCAATTACATACATTGAAGCTGCATGTTTTCGTTTTACATCGTTTGACTATCCTGTTCATACCAGCGCCGGGCTCAGTGGCAGGTACAACAACCAACTCCGTCAGGGACACATCAACCGACTACAGCACAGCGACAGCTGCTGCAAGTGAGTCCATCAGGACTACTTCAACCGCACAACCTACAGAGGCTGCATCCACCTCAGCTACGACATTCGAAACAACACGGCAGACAGGTAGGACGGTGCTTCATAGATAACATTACACACACATCGCGGATTCGTAATAACCATAACCTACTTCAGATCCACACAACTGATTATTAATACGTTTTAGCATCTGATGGTTAAACGTCCTTCAGAACAATTCCCCTGGAAATTGGAGAGGGAGAAAATGTGAGTTTTGATATATAACTACAAAAGGCGATCAAGGTCATGTCAGTGAGATAGCCTATTTGTCCACAGAAGGAGTTCCTGATAAAATATTGAAGGATATTGATAGAGCAGATACCAAATGATACACGGGAGTAGATACTTACTGATACACGAGAGTAGGTACCTACTGATACACGGGAGAAGATACCTACTGATACAGGAGAGTAGGTACCTACTGATACACGGGAGAAGAGACCTACTGATACAGGAGAGTAGATACTTACTGATACACGGGAGTAGATACTTACTGATGCGAGGGAGTAGATATCTACTGATACAAGGGGGTAGATACTTACTGATTCACGGGGGTAGAAAGCTGCTAATAAGCGGGAGTAGATATCTACTGATACAAGGGGATAGATACTGATACAGGTGAGTACGTACCTACCGATACACGGGAGTAGATACCTACTGATATAAAAAGAGTAGATACTTAATGATACACGGGAGTAGATACCTACTGATATAAAAAGAGTAGATACTTAGTCATACACGGGAGTAGATACCTACTGATATAAAAAGAGTAGATACTTAGTGATATATGGGAGTAGATACCTACTGATAAAAAAGAGTAGATACTTAACGTCCAAAACACAACTATGATAGCCGTGTCAAATCCATTACAATCGAATAACGAATTCATGTTTGTTTCATTCTTGGCCACCATCAGTTATGATTGCACACTGTGCATGTTCATTTGTTCCATGTGACCTTGCTTATACATAGGTCTCCTGCTATGAAGGCCGGCTGATAACTTAACGTGCAGTGAGGACGTGCTTGTGCTTGTATTCTGAAGGATATTTTAAAATCTAAATACAGTAAACTACGGTTATAACGAACACGCTTATAACGAACTAACGGATATAACGAACTAACTTTTTAGTCCCGACTATATGCTTAGTTATGCTGTATATATGCTTATAACGAATTACGGTTATAACGAACTAAAATTAGTAGTCCCTTTGAGTTCGTTATAACCGTAGTTTACTGTACATGTTTTATGATAATGCTTCATACGTAATAAAAAATACCTTCTCGAATCAGTTCAGATTTTGTATCTTACGTAAAACATCCGACATGAGCGTGAACACAGTATCATCTGGTCTCTTCCCAGTTGTCCTTATAACGCTGCAATTAATTACATACATTGAGGCTGCATGCTTTCGTTTTACATCGTTTGACTGTCCTGTTCATACCAGCGCCGGCCTCAGTGGCAGGTACAACAACCAACTCCGTCAGGGACACATCAACCGACTACAGCACAGCGACAGCTGCTGCAAGTGAGTCCATCAGGACTACTTCAACCGCACAATCTACAGAGGCAACCTCAGCTACGACACTCAAATTAACACGACAGACAGGTAGGACGGCGCTTCATAGATAACATTACACGCACATCGCAGATTCGTAATAACCATAACCTACTTCAGATCCACACAACTGATTATTAATACGTTTTAGCATCTGATGGTTAAACGTCCTTCAGAACAATTCCCCTGGAAATTGGAGCGGGAGAAAATGTGAGTTTTGATATATAACTACAAAAGGCGATCGAGGTCATGTCAGTGAGAAAGCCTTTTTGTCCACAGAAGGAGTTCCTGATAAAATATTGAAGGATATTGATAGAGCAGATACCAAATGATACACGGGAGTAGATACTTACTGATACACGAGAGTAGGTACCTACTGATACACGGGAGAAGATACCTACTGATACAGGAGAGTAGAAACTTACTGATACACGGGAGAAGAGACCTACTGATACAGGAGAGTAGATACTTACTGATACACGGGAGTAGATACCTACTGATGCAAGGGAGTAGATATCTACTGATACAAGGGGGTAGATACTTACTGATTCACGGGGGTAGATAGCTGCTGATAGGCGGAAGTAGATATCTACTGATACAAGGGGGGAGGTACTGATACAGGTGAGTACGTACCTACCGATACACGAGAGTAGATACCTACTGATATAAAAAAGAGTAGATACTTAGTCATACACGGGAGTAGATACCTACTGATATAAAAAAGAGTAGATACTTAGTGATATATGGGAGTAGATACCTACTGATAAAAAAGAGTAGATACTTAACGTCCAAAACACAACTATGATAGCCATGTCAAATACATCACAATCGAATAACGAATTCATGTTTGTTTCATTCTTGGCCACCATCAGTTATGATTGCATACTGTGCATGTTCATTTGTTCCATGTGACCTTGCTTATACATAGGTCTCCTGCTATGAAGGCCGGCTGATAACTTAACGTGCAGTGAGGACGTGCTTGTGCTTGTATTCTGAAGGATATTTTAAAATCTAAATACAGTAAACTACGGTTATAACGAACACGCTTATAACGAACTAACGGATATAACGAACTAACCTTTTAGTTCCGACTATGTTCTGTAGTTATGCTGTACATATGCTTATAACGAATAACGGTTATAACGAACTAAAATTAGTAGTCCCTTTGAGTTCGTTATAACCGTAGTTTACTGTACATGTTTTACGATAATGCTTCATACGTAATAAAAAATACCTTCTCGAATCAGTTCAGATTTTGTATCTAACGTAAAACATCCGACATGAGCGTCAACACAGTGTCATCTGTTCTCTTCCCAGTTGTCCTTATAACGCTGCAATTAATTACATACATTGAGGCTGCATGCTTTCGTTTTACATCGTTTGACTGTCCTGTTCATACCAGCGCCGGCCTCCAGCACAGCGAGAGCTAAAACAAGCGAGTCAACCAGTACTATTTCAACCAAACCATCTACAGAGGATGAAGCCACTTCGGCCACACCTACAACATCTACAGAGGCATTCTCAACTACTACACTCGAATCAACACGACAGACAGGTAGGACGGTGCTTCATATATAACATTACACGCACATCGCAGATTCGTAATAACCATAACCTACTTCAGATCCACACAACTGTTTATTAATACGTTTTAGCATCTGATGGTTAAACGTCCTTCAGAACAATTCCCCTGGAAATTGGAGAGGGAGAAAATGTGACTTTTTTATATAACTACAAAAGGCGATTAAGGTCATGTCAGTGAGATAGCCTATTTGTCCACAGAAGGAGTTCTTGATAAAATATTGAAGGATATTGATAGAGTAGATACCAAATGATACATGGGAGTAGATACTTACTGATACACGAGAGTAGGTACCTACTGATACACGGGAGAAGATACCTACTGATACAGGAGAGTAGAAACTTACTGATACACGGGAGAAGAGACCTACTGATACAGGAGAGTAGAAACTTACTGATACACGGGAGAAGAGACCTACTGATACAGGAGAGTAGATACTTACTGATACACGGGAGTAGATACCTACTGATGCAAGGGAGTAGATATCTACTGATACAAGGTGGTAGATACTTACTGATTCACGGGGGTAGATAGCTGCTGATAGGCGGAAGTAGATATCTACTGATACAAGGGGGTAGATACTGATACAGGTGAGTACGTACCTACCGATACACGAGAGTAGATACCTACTGATATAAAAAGAGTAGATAGTGATACACGAGAGTAGGTACCTCCTGATACACGGGAGAAGATACCAAATGATACAGGAGAGTAGAAACTTACTGATACACGGGAGAAGAGACCTACTGATACAGGAGAGTAGAAACTTACTGATACACGGGAGAAGAGACCTACTGATACAGGAGAGTAGATACTTACTGATACACGGGAGTAGATACCTACTGATGCAAGGGAGTAGATATCTACTGATACAAAGGGGCGGTCGGGTAGCCTAGTGGTTAAAGCGTTCGCTCGTCACGCCGAAGACCCGGGTTCGATTCCCAACATGGGTACAATGTGTGAAGCCCATTTCTGGTGTCCCCCGCCGTGATATTGCTGGAATATTGCTAAAAGCGGCGTAAAACCATACTCACTCACTCACTCACTCACTCACTCACTGATACAAGGGGGTAGATACTTACTGATTCACGGGGGTAGATAGCTGCTGATAGGCGGAAGTAGATATCTACTGATACAAGGGGGGAGGTACTGATACAGGTGAGTACGTACCTGCCGATACACGAGAGTAGATACCTACCGATAAAAAAGAGTAGATACTTAACGTCCAAAACACAACTATGATAGCCGTGTCAAATACATCACAATCGAATAACGAATTCATGTTTGTTTCATTCTTGGCCACCATCAGTTATGATTGCATACTGTGCATGTTCATTTGTTCCATGTGACCTTGCTTATACATAGGACTCCTGCTATGAAGGCCGGCTGATAACTTAACGTGCAGTGAGGACGTGCTTGTGCTTGTATTCTGAAGGATATTTTAAAATCTAAATACATGTTTTATGATAATGCTTCATACGTAATAAAAAATACCTTCTCGAATCAGTTCAGATTTTGTATCTTACGTAAAACATCCGACATGAGCGTCAACACAGTGTCATCTGGTCCCTTCCCAGTTGTCCTTATAACGCTGCAATAAATAACATACATTGAGGTTGCATGCTTTCGTTATACATCGTTCGACTGTCCTGTTCATACCAGCGCCGGCCTCCAGCACAGCGAGAGCTAAAACAAGCGAGTCAACCAGTACTATTTCAACCGAACCATCTACAGAGGATGAAGCCACTTCAGCCACACCTACAACATCTACAGAGGCATTCTCAACTACTACACTCGAATCAACACGACAGACAGGTAGGGCGGTGCTTCATAGATAACATTACACGCACATCGCAGATTTGGAATAACCATAACCTACTTCCTATCCACACAACTGATTATTAATACATTTTAGCATCTGATGTGTCAAACATTTTTCAGAACAAATCCCCTTGAGATCGGAGCGGGAGAAAACATGAGTTCTGATATATAACTAAACACGCCGACCAAGATCATGTCAATGGGAAGGCCATGTATTTGTCCACAGAAGGAGTTCCTGATAAAATATTGAAGGATATTGATAGAGCAGATACCAAATGATACACGGGAGTAGATACTTACTGATACACGAGAGTAGGTACCTACTGATACACGGGAGAAGATACCTACTGATACAGGCGAGTAGATACTTACTAATACACGGGAGTAGATGCTTACTGATGCAAGGGAGTAGATATCTACTGATACAAGGGGGTAGATACTTACTGATTCACGGGGGTAGATAGCTGCTAATAAGCGGGAGTAGATATCTACTGATACAAGGGGGTAGATACTGATACAGGTAAGTACGTACCTACCGATACACGAGAGTAGATACCTACTGATAAAAAGAGTAGATACTTAACGTCCAAAACACAACTATGATAGCCGTGTCAAATACATCACAACCGAATTACGAATTCATGTTTGTTTCATTCTTGGCCACCATCAGTTATGATTGCATACTGTGCATGTTCATTTGTTCCATGTGACCTTGCTTATACATAGGACTCCTGCTATGAAGGCCGGCTGATAACTTAACGTGCAGTGAGGACGTGCTTGTGCTTGTATTCTGAAGGATATTTTAAAATCTAAATACAGTAAACTACGGTTATAACGAACACGCTTATAACGAACTAACGGATATAACGAACTAACCTTTAAGATCCGACTATCTTCTGTAGTTATGCTGTACATATGCTTATAACGAATAACGGTTATAACGAACTAAAATTAGTAGTCCCTTTGAGTTCGTTATAACTGTAGTTTACTGTACATGTTTTACGATAATGCTTCATACGTAATAAAAAATACCTTCTAGAATCAGTTCAGATTTTGTATCTAACGTAAAACATCCGACATGAGCGTCAACACAGTGTCATCTGGTCTCTTCCCAGTTTTCCTTATAACGCTGCAATTAATTACATACATTGAGGCTGCATGCTTTCGTTTTACATCGTTCGACTGTCCTGTTCATACCAGCGCCGGCCTCCAGCACAGCGAGAGCTAAAACAAGCGAGTCAACCAGTACTATTTCAACCAAACCATCTACAGAGGATGAAGCCACTTCGGCCACACCTACAACATCTACAGAGGCATTCTCAACTACTACACTCGAATCAACACGGCAGACAGGTAGGGCGGTGCTTCATATATAACATTACACGCACATCGCAGATTCGTAATAACCATAACCTACTTCAGATCCACACAACTGTTTATTAATACGTTTTAGCATCTGATGGTTAAACGTCCTTCAGAACAATTCCCCTGGAAATTGGAGAGGGAGAAAATGTGACTTTTTTTATATAACTACAAAAGGCGATTAAGGTCATGTCAGTGAGATAGCCTATTTGTCCACAGAAGGAGTTCTTGATAAAATATTGAAGGATATTGATAGAGTAGATACCAAATGATACATGGGAGTAGATACTTACTGATACACGAGAGTAGGTACCTACTGATACACGGGAGAAGATACCTACTGATACAGGAGAGTAGAAACTTACTGATACACGGGAGAAGAGACCTACTGATACAGGAGAGTAGAAACTTACTGATACACGGGAGAAGAGACCTACTGATACAGGAGAGTAGATACTTACTGATACACGGGAGTAGATACCTACTGATGCAAGGGCGTAGATATCTACTGATACAAGGGGGTAGATACTTACTGATTCACGGGGGTAGATAGCTGCTGATAGGCGGAAGTAGATATCTACTGATACAAGGGGGTAGATACTGATACAGGTGAGTACGTACCTACCGATACACGAGAGTAGATACCTACTGATAAAAAAAGAGTAGATAGTGATACACGAGAGTAGGTACCTACTGATACACGGGAGAAGATACCTACTGATACAGGAGAGTAGAAACTTACTGATACACGGGAGAAGAGACCTACTGATACAGGAGAGTAGAAACTTACTGATACACGGGAGAAGAGACCTACTGATACAGGAGAGTAGATACTTACTGATACACGGGAGTAGATACCTACTGATGCAAGGGAGTAGATATCTACTGATACAAAGGGGCGGTCGGGTAGCCTAGTGGTTAAAGCGTTCGCTCGTCACGCCGAAGACCCGGGTTCGATTCCCAACATGGGTACAATGTGTGAAGCCCATTTCTGGTGTCCCCCGCCGTGATATTGCTGGAATATTGCTAAAAGCGGCGTAAAACCATACTCACTCACTCACTCACTCACTGATACAAGGGGGTAGATACTTACTGATTCACGGGGGTAGATAGCTGCTGATAGGCGGAAGTAGATATCTACTGATACAAGGGGGTAGATACTGATACAGGTGAGTACGTACCTACCGATACACGAGAGTAGATACCTACCGATAAAAAAGAGTAGATACTTAACGTCCAAAACACAACTATGATAGCCGTGTCAAATACATCACAATCGAATAACGAATTCATGTTTGTTTCATTCTTGGCCACCATCAGTTATGATTGCATACTGTGCATGTTCATTTGTTCCATGTGATCTTGCTTATACATAGGACTCCTGCTATGAAGGCCGGCTGATAACTTAACGTGCAGTGAGGACGTGCTTGTGCTTGTATTCTGAAGGATATTTTAAAATCTAAATACATGTTTTATGATAATTCTTCATACGTAATAAAAAATACTTTCTCGAATCAGTTCAGATTTTGTATCTTACGTAAAACATCCGACATGAGCGTCAACACAGTGTCATCTGGTCCCTTCCCAGTTGTCCTTATAACGCTGCAATAAATAACATACATTGAGGTTGCATGCTTTCGTTATACATCGTTCGACTGTCCTGTTCATACCAGCGCCGGCCTCCAGCACAGCGAGAGCTAAGACAAGCGAGTCAACCAGTACTATTTCAACCGAACCATCTACAGAGGATGAAGCCACTTCAGCCACACCTACAACATCTACAGAGGCATTCTCAACTACTACACTCGAATCAACACGACAGACAGGTAGGGCGGTGCTTCATATATAACATTACACGCACATCGCAGATTTGGAATAACCATAACCTACTTCCTATCCACACAACTGATTATTAATACATTTTAGCATCTGATGTGTCAAACATTTTTCAGAACAAATCCCCTTGAGATCGGAGCGGGAGAAAACATGAGTTCTGATATATAACTAAACACGCCGACCAAGATCATGTCAATGGGAAGGCCATGTATTTGTCCACAGAAGGAGTTCCTGATAAAATATTGAAGGATATTGATAGAGTAGATACCTACTGATATAAAAAAGAGTAGATACTTACTGATACACGAGAGTAGGTACCTACTGATACACGGGAGAAGATACCTACTGATACAGGCGAGTAGATACTTACTAATACACGGGAGTAGATGCTTACTGATGCAAGGGAGTAGATATCTACTGATACAAGGGGGTAGATACTTACTGATTCACGGGGGTAGATAGCTGCTAATAAGCGGGAGTAGATATCTACTGATACAAGGGGGTAGATACTGATACAGGTAAGTACGTACCTACCGATACACGAGAGTAGATACCTACTGATAAAAAGAGTAGATACTTAACGTCCAAAACACAACTATGATAGCCGTGTCAAATACATCACAACCGAATTACGAATTCATGTTTGTTTCATTCTTGGCCACAATCAGTTATGATTGCATACTGTGCATGTTCATTTGTTCCATGTGACCTTGCTTATACATAGGACTCCTGCTATGAAGGCCGGCTGATAACTTAACGTGCAGTGAGGACGTGCTTGTGCTTGTATTCTGAAGGATATTTTAAAATCTAAATACAGTAAACTACGGTTATAACGAACACGCTTATAACGAACTAACGGATATAACGAACTAACCTTTTAGTTCCGACTATATTCTGTAGTTATGCTGTACATATGCTTATAACGAATAACGGTTATAACGAACTAAAATTAGTAGTCCCTTTGAGTTCGTTATAACCGTAGTTTACTGTACATGTTTTACGATAATGCTTCATACGTAATAAAAAATACCTTCTCGAATCAGTTCAGATTTTGTATCTAACGTAAAACATCCGACATGAGCGTCAACACAGTGTCATCTGGTCTCTTCCCAGTTGTCCTTATAACGCTGCAATTAATTACATACATTGAGGCTGCATGCTTTCGTTTTACATCGTTCGACTGTCCTGTTCATACCAGCGCCGGCCTCCAGCACAGCGAGAGCTAAAACAAGCGAGTCAACCAGTACTATTTCAACCAAACCATCTACAGAGGATGAAGCCACTTCGGCCACACCTACAACATCTACAGAGGCATTCTCAACTACTACACTCGAATCAACACGGCAGACAGGTAGGACGGTGCTTCATATATAACATTACACGCACATCGCAGATTCGTAATAACCATAACCTACTTCCTATCCACACAACTGTTTATTAATACGTTTTAGCATCTGATGGTTAAACGTCCTTCAGAACAATTCCCCTGGAAATTGGAGAGGGAGAAAATGTGACTTTTTTATATAACTACAAAAGGCGATTAAAGTCATGTCAGTGAGATAGCCTATTTGTCCACAGAAGGAGTTCTTGATAAAATATTGAAGGATATTGATAGAGTAGATACCAAATGATACATGGGAGTAGATACTTACTGATACACGAGAGTAGGTACCTACTGATACACGGGAGAAGATACCTACTGATACAGGAGAGTAGAAACTTACTGATACACGGGAGAAGAGACCTACTGATACAGGAGAGTAGAAACTTACTTATACACGGGAGAAGAGACCTACTGATACAGGAGAGTAGAAACTTACTGATACACGGGAGAAGAGACCTACTGATACAGGAGAGTAGAAACTTACTGATACACGGGAGAAGAGACCTACTGATACAGGAGAGTAGATACTTACTGATACACGGGAGTAGATACCTACTGATGCAAGGGAGTAGATATCTACTGATACAAGGGGGTAGATACTTACTGATTCACGGGGGTAGATAGCTGCTGATAGGCGGAAGTAGATATCTACTGATATAAGGGGGTAGATACTGATACAGGTGAGTACGTACCTACCGATACACGAGAGTAGATACCTACTGATATAAAAAGAGTAGATAGTGATACACGAGAGCAGGTACCTACTCATACACGGGAGAAGATACCTACTGATACAGGAGAGTAGAAACTTACTGATACACGGGAGAAGAGACCTACTGATACAGGAGAGTAGAAACTTACTGATACACGGGAGAAGAGACCTACTGATACAGGAGAGTAGATACTTACTGATACACGGGAGTAGATACCTACTGATGCAAGGGAGTAGATATCTACTGATACAAAGGGGCGGTCGGGTAGCCTAGTGGTTAAAGCGTTCGCTCGTCACGCCGAAGACCCGGGTTCGATTCCCAACATGGGTACAATGTGTGAAGCCCATTTCTGGTGTCCCCCGCCGTGATATTGCTGGAATATTGCTAAAAGCGGCGTAGAACCATACTCACTCACTCACTCACTCACTGATACAAGGGGGTAGATACTTACTGATTCACGGGGGTAGATAGCTGCTGATAGGCGGAAGTAGATATCTACTGATACAAGGGGGTAGATACTGATACAGGTGAGTACGTACCTGCCGATACACGAGAGTAGATACCTACCGATAAAAAAGAGTAGATACTTAACGTCCAAAACACGACTATGATAGCCGTGTCAAATACATCACAATCGAATAACGAATTCATGTTTGTTTCATTCTTGGCCACCATCAGTTATGATTGCATACTGTGCATGTTCATTTGTTCCATGTGATCTTGCTTATACATAGGACTCCTGCTATGAAGGCCGGCTGATAACTTAACGTGCAGTGAGGACGTGCTTGTGCTTGTATTCTGAAGGATATTTTAAAATCTAAATACATGTTTTATGATAATGCTTCATACGTAATAAAAAATACTTTCTCGAATCAGTTCAGATTTTGTATCTTACGTAAAACATCCGACATGAGCGTCAACACAGTGTCATCTGGTCCCTTCCCAGTTGTCCTTATAACGCTGCAATAAATAACATACATTGAGGTTGCATGCTTTCGTTATACATCGTTCGACTGTCCTGTTCATACCAGCGCCGGCCTCCAGCACAGCGAGAGCTAAAACAAGCGAGTCAACCAGTACTATTTCAACCGAACCATCTACAGAGGATGAAGCCACTTCAGCCACACCTACAACATCTACAGAGGCATTCTCAACTACTACACTCGAATCAACACGACAGACAGGTAGGGCGGTGCTTCATATATAACATTACACGCACATCGCAGATTTGGAATAACCATAACCTACTTCCTATCCACACAACTGATTATTAATACATTTCAGCATCTGATGTGTCAAACATTTTTCAGAACAAATCCCCTTGAGATCGGAGCGGGAGAAAACATGAGTTCTGATATATAACTAAACACGCCGACCAAGATCATGTCAATGGGAAGGCCATGTATTTGTCCACAGAAGGAGTTCCTGATAAAATATTGAAGGATATTGATAGAGTAGATACCTACTGATATAAAAAAGAGTAGATACTTAGTGATACACGGGAGTAGATACCTACCGATAAAAAAGAGCAGATACTTAACGTCCAAAACACAACTATGATAGCCGTGTCAAATACATCACAATCGAATTACGAATTCATGTTTCTTTCATTCTTGGCCACCATCAGTTATGATTGCATACTGTGCATGTTCATTTGTTCCATGTGATCTTGCTTATACATAGGACTCCTGCTATGAAGGCCGGCTGATAACTTAACGTGCAGTGAGGACGTGCTTGTGCTTGTATTCTGAAGGAAATTTTAAAATCTAAATACATGTTTTATGATAATTCTTCATACGTAATAAAACATACCATCTCGAATCAGTTCAGATTTTGTATCTTACGTAAAACATCCGACATGAGCGTCAACACAGTGTCATCTGGTCTCTTCCCAGTTGTCCTTATAACGCTGCAATTAATAACATACATTGAGGTTGCATGCTTTCGTTATACATCGTTTGACTGTCCTGTTCATACAAGCGCCGGCCTCCAGCACAGCGAGAGCTAAAACAAGCGAGTCAACCAGTACTATTTCAACCGAACCATCTACAGAGGATGAAGCCACTTCAGCAACGCCTACAACCTCTACAGAGGCAACCTCAACTACTACACTCGAATCAACACGGCAGACGGGTAGGACGGTGCTTCATATATAACATTACACGCACATCGCAGATTCGTAATAACCATAACCTACTTCAGATCCACACAACTGATTATTAATACATTTCAGCATCTGATGTGTCAAACGTCCTTCAGAACAAATCCCCTTGAGATCGGAGCGGGAGAAAACATGAGCTGATATAAAACTAAAAAAGCTGATCAGGATCATGTCAATGGGAATGCCATGTATTTGTCCATAGAAGGAGTTCCTGATAAAATATTGAAGGATATTGATAGAGTAGATACCTACTGATACAGGAGAGTAGATACTTACTGATACACGGGAGTACATATGTAGATACCTATTGATGCAAGGGGGCAGATATCTACTGATACAAGGGGGTAGATACTTACTGATTCACGGAGGTAGATAGCTGCTAATAGGCGGGAGTAGATATCTACTGATACAAGGGGGTAGATACTTACTGATACAGGTGAGTACGTACCTACCGATACACGAGAGTAGATACCTACTGATAAAAAAGAGTAGATACTTAACGTCCAAAACACAACTATGATAGCCGTGTCAAATACATCACAATCGAATAACGAATTCATGTTTGTTTCATTCTTGGCCACCATCAGTTATGATTGCATACTGTGCATGTTCATTTGTTCCATGTGATCTTGCTTATACATAGGACTCCTGCTATGAAGGCCGGCTGATAACTTAACGTGCAGTGAGGACGTGCTTGTGATTCTGAAGGATATTTTAAAATCTAAATACATGTTTTATGATAATTCTTCATACGTAATAAAACATACCTTCTCGAATCAGTTCAGATTTTGTATCTTACGTAAAACATCCGACATGAGCGTTAACACAGTGCCATCTGGTCTCTTCCCAGTTGTCCTTATAACGCTGCAATCAATTACATACATTGAGGTTGCATGCTTTCGTTTTACATCGTTTGACTTTCCTGTTCATACAAGCGCCGGTCTCCAGCACAGCGAGAGCTAAAACAAGCGAGTCAACCAGTACTATTTCAACCGAACCATCTACAGAGGATGAAGCCACTTCAGCCACACCTACAACATCTACAGAGGCAACCTCAGCTACTACACTCGAATCAACACGGCAGACAGGTAGGACGGTGCTTCATAGATAACATTACACGCACATCGCAGATTCGTAATAACCATAACCTACTTCAGATACACACAACTGATTATTAATACATTTCAGCATCTGATGTGTCAAACGTCCTTCAGAACAAATCCCCTTGAGATCGGAGCGGGAGAAAACATGAGTTCTGATATATAACTAAACACGCCGATCAAGATCATGTCAATGGGAATGCCATGTATTTGTCCACAGAAGGAGTACCTGATAAAATATTGAAGGATATTGATAGAGTAGATACCTTCTGATACACGGGGGTAGATACTTACTGATACACCAGAGTAGATACTAACTGATGCAGGGGAGTAGATACCTACTGATACACGGGAGTAGACACTTACTGATACACGGGAGTATATACCTACTGATAAACGGGAGTAGATACTTACTGATGCAGGTGAGTAGATACCTACTGATACACGGGAGTAGACACTTACTGATACACGGGAGTAGATACCTACTGATAAACGGGAGTAGATACTAACTGATGCAGGTGAGTAGATACCTACTGATACACGGGAGTAGACACTTACTGATACACGAGAGTAGATACTTACTGATAAACGGGAGTACTAACTGATACAGGGGAGTAGATGCCAACTGATACACAAGCCATATCGAATACAGGATATTCTACGTCATACCCCTGGACATCTAGATCGCCTTCGCTGACATCTTCCTCTAAAACAGAGGTGCATACATCAGGTACACCTACGTCTGAGACAGCAACATCGTATACAACGACCGCGTCCCCTACAACAGATGTATATACCACGTCATCTTCAGAGATAATTACATCATCACCAGCAAGCGTCACAGCAGGTATGTTAATCAAACTACATACACACTCTCAGGTAAGCATGTATACATGTTAGGTTACTTCACTGAAATATTACATCGACTGTACATAAATATATATCATATATATTATATATCATGCGATAAATGTATCAGTTTGCTAACTCTCATTTAACATTCATATTATGTTCATATGTAATATGTTTCATATGAACGTCTCATGCCATTACATGTCTTATAGCTTTCAGTTCCACTGGTACATTGCTAAAGCAATAATAATAATAATAATAATAATAATAATAATAATAATAATAATAATAATAATAATAATAATATATAAATAAAATATTATGGATGTCAACTTCTTTATTATGAGGAACACGACGTTTCGGAGTATATGCTTACTCCTTCAATAGGCTGATGAATGCCATACCATGCAGAGACCATATATATGTACATGTAAGGACACCAAAATTAATAAGATAAGAAAAGGTGGAAAATAACAAAGGGTAGACACTTACAAGGGAAGCCAACATATGATTAGAAACAGACAATGGAAGCCAACCGAAACGTTGTGTTCCTCATAAAAAGAAGTTTACATCCATAAATTATCTTCCTTATGTGTATGACTTCTAAATGCCTTTCAAAGACCTGAAAGTCTTTATTGTCTGTAACGACGTTTCAGGGATGCTTCTTTTCCCTTCATCACCGGCTACAACAACGCCATTCGTCTGATAAAGGGCCAAGGAGTAACCTTGAAATGACGTTACAAACAAGAAGTTGTTTTCTGCCTTCGTGTTACTATTGAATTGTTGTTGTCGCTTGTTCTAAATGTCAATTAAAGATTTTTAACCACGTGTGTTGACCCCTAGAATGGTTTATGTATTTGTATGAATGCAATGCTGTATATCTGTACATTTGGAATGAGTGGTATGTTGGGCATGATTGAAGTGTGCATTACGTGCCAGTAGTGAGATGAGCGGTGTCCGGGCAGGTTAACAAGTCCATCCTGACAATGTCATGCTCCACCCAGTTAAAGGTGAGTGTTTCAGTATCCCGTCTGAAGCTTCCCTTGCTGACAGCCATGAGCGGTAAGTGGAATGGTAGGTATGATAAACCAAAACGCAGTAACCAGGTGTGTACATTTATGTATACGTGTCCGTAATCAGTATACATGGACCTTGTCTAATCTGGCATCGCGCAGAAACGGAAATGATGCCGGTTAAGACAGGGAGACGGGCTTCTCAGAGTTTGTCCCCCGATAGTCATTTCTAGGAGGTTGAACTTTAACTTTAACTGGGAACTTTAAAAGGGATAATCAGACATGTCATTCTGTAAAAACAATTAAATAAATTATACATTTCACATTTTATGAGAATCCATTTTGTGTATCACTGAAATATGAAAAGATATCCATCACAGTGGAGTAGTGTATGTAAAATTGTATATTGGTATCTGCGTGTTGATATGCAGCGAAACCCCTATAGTCTGGACACTGTTAGTTCATAAACCTAATGATAACTGTATACCTTCTCTATACGATTTAAGGACCATTCATTAATCCGGACGACTTTATTGCTGACCGTGCTGAATAATGGGGTTTCACTTTAAATGTGACGTCTACTAGTATTCTTTATACGTCCCTCACTCACTCTAGGGTGATCGTCGTCCTAGTATAGCCTAGATGTATGTGTACTACTGCATGTACTTTGTCCTCAGGTACTGAAGCTTTTTGTTATTTTAGATGTGTAACCCAAGAATATTTTCTCAGAAAAAGAAGGGAGTTGGTGTAATATAATAATAATGTATTGACTGAACTAAGACGCCACAGGTCCATACAATTTTACATATTTTCAAAAAGTATGCGTTTTATCTGAGCATATTTTGTAATATTCATTTTCTGTAGACATAAGCATTAAAATATAATACATTATATGTCATATGTCAGATAATATGTATATTACCAATGACAATAATTGTGCTTTTATTACATAATGGTAATTGTTACATAATGATTACATAAGGTTAAATTCATATTCTGCGCTCTTCAACGTACATGTACAGTTGTTCAGGGTTCCACTGTATTTACTTTTATAATGCATTAGGTCATATTATCCTGACTGCAACTAATGCTATATAAATATTTAATATCTGGTTTAAAGGTCCAAACGCCGAACTACAAATACATACAGTGTCCAGGTATGAAGGTAAGATGTAGTTCCATTGTTTACTACAAATGTAAAGACGTGGTGAACTGAACCGCAAAAGAAACGTCACTTCAAGTAACATTGCATGAAAAGTTGTCATTTAAATATCTGGGTAATTTTTGTCAAAGTTTCTAAAATTTAACATTACCTTGTCCGGAAAAATGAAATTTGATGAGAAAAAAACAAAGCAGATGACAATAAAACCAATCGCCCTACGCATCACGGCAACGGTCATGGTAACCCGATGCACGTGAAGTCCGTGCAAATTGAAATACACATGCGTTCCCTCATTTATTTGCCCTATAAAAATCCACCCAGATCCGATAACATTCATTCGTTATTGAATTGCTACTACATGCCAAGATTAACAAGAAATCAGCGACACCAAACCCTTAGACGATTGCAAGCTGGACAAACCGCCCGGCAAGCAGCCAATGCATTTCAAGTCCACGTAAGGATCATACACAGGCTCTAGCAACGGTACCAGACCACCAACACTACAGATGACCGACCACGTAGTGAAAGACCAAGGGTCACCACCCGACGTCAGGATCGTCAGATTGCGCGACAGCATCTTCAAGATCGCTTTGTTACTGCTGCGGAAACTGCTCGATAGACCATGGGGACACACCAGCGACACCGTGCGTCGACGATTGACGAGCGGACACCTCCACTGTCTCAGGCTACACCGAGGACCCATTCTGACACCACGTCATGGCCGGCACCGTTTTCAGTGGGCAACACAGTACCAGCATTGGCGCCACCAGCAATGGAGAAGAGTCCTCTTCTCAGACGATAGCCGTTACTGTCTCTTAACAGCAGATGGCACAGAGAGAGAGAGAGAGAGAGAGAGAGAGAGAGAGAGAGAGAGAGAGAGAGAGAGAGAGAGTATGGCGACGCCGTGGGGAACGTTATTCGGATGCTTGTGTTGTTGAAAGAGACTCGTGGGGTGGTCCGAGCATCATGGTGTGGGTCGGAATTGGTCTTGCACAGAGGGTCAGCCCTGTGGTCTTCCAGAACATCGGTCCAGGGAGAGGCAATGGTGTCACAGCAGCTCGGTACATTGATCAAATCTTGAGACCACACGCCATACCTCATTTAATTTGGCACGTCGCCGCAATCACGAGTTTCAGCATGATAACGTCCGTGCCCACACTGCGAGAGCAACAAGAGACTTCCTCTAGCAGAATGGCATCAGAACAACCGATTTAAATCCCATAGAGCACCTGTTGGACGAGATTCAAAGACGGCTGAATAACGTCCAACCAAGGCGGACAACTGCAGCTGAACTGCATCAGGCGTTCCTTAGAGTGTGGGCTCAAGTGCATATGACCTTCATCGACCGCCTCACCCATTCCATGTATCGACGTTGAACGGCAGTCATCAATGCACATGGCGGACACACGAGATACTGACATGTGATGCCATTTTTTCAGAGACTCGTGTTGTGTTTCACTTTAAGAACATTTGTCACAGTGACTTTAATTTCAACCTTGATGATCAGTTTTGCCAAGTTTCATCTTTTCAGTATGTCTCAAAGTGTGTTTACAGTGTTTGGAAAAGTAAGGTTTCTTATATATCTATCCATGGTGACGTTTCTTTTGCGGTTCAGTATATGAAATCAATCAGGACAAAAAAGACAAAATGTATTGATGATTTCTTAGGAGCGTATGTATTATTTAATTGTATGAAGTCTACAAAGATCCACACTCGACTGCCAACTGTAAATTTAACATGTTCTCTGTGGAATAGTTTGCTTTCAATAATAATACTTCTTTGAGTTATATGTGTGGTGTTTGTCATGAAGGAAACGACACTACGCCGGAACGTATTATGCACACTTCAAGTGATGCTGCTTGGCATCTGCTACTTCCTGCGTGTCACGTGGTGTTGCAGACAAACAATATGAGTCGGACGTGTTTGTTCAGTCTCAGTCACTGCATTTCTCAGGAATCGGATATTTGATACGATGTCCTTTATCGTTTCCTCTTATGAGTATTATCCTGTCAACAATTTTTGTGCCTTGACCTAATAACTTCTGGATGACGTTTCCACCACTCGAAGTTATTAGAGACTCATTCAATGTACAATACAAATGCATGTGCTCCATCTTTCCACGCACATTAAATAATAGAAATTGTAGTTGATGTGTTTCCATTGTTGACTTTAAAATAGTTAACTATGTCTTATATGGCTTTAGGAGCACAGGTGGCCCAGTCGTCTAGGGCGCCGCGATTCGCTGTGCAGAGTTGCGTCCCTAGGGCACGCCAGAAACCTATGATTGTGGATTCGAATCCCGGTTCGCCCCGATTATGTTTTTAGGTTTGTCTGCACCATACCCGTGCTCGTGGGTTTCACCGCAGTGGTAAACGTCTGAGACCTGCATCACTTCGGGCTTTCCTCCCACGTTAAGCTGACACGCCGCGATATGACATGAATTCTGTTAAAGGCGGCGTTAAACCAAACTCACTCACTCACTCATTTATATGGCTATTTTTATTTTAAGTTTGATGTATACAAGTGGTCTAATGTAAATGAATAAGCATGTATTGTACTGTCGCCCTCACAGGGTCCTTACTCGTGAAGCAAGAGGTGATAGTGAAGCAGTACAAACACCCGGTGCAACATCGGACGCAGTGACACCCTCATTGTGCATAGCCCTGTCCAAAGACAACACGACTTGGTACTGGAGACATGTAGACACGCCGTGAACACCTGGTGTCTCAATTTAGACAACACATTGATGCAGGAAGACATGTTGTTGGCACCTGGTGTCACGTGAGATAGTATGGCTCGGTACTGGAGACAAGCCGTTGGCACATGGCGTCACACGTGAGACAACATGGAGACACGCCATAGACACCTGGCCACGTGTGCTATATATGTTTGGTTCAAATGGATTACCCTGTGTTGTAAGTGCAAGGCCTCCCTACCTCAAACATAAACCTGGTTATGTGCTTATGTAACTGAGAAGACTCAGCCAAGGAATGGCTGGTAAACAAGCTTTTATTATGAGAATAGCAGTAATTGACAGTAATTGAGCTAAACTATTTTTATTTAACGGGGATGCTATTACACTATTAGATACATAGAGGTATGGTCAAATCACCGCACATCAGTGGATATTTAGTCTATTTCCTTCAGCAAACCAGAGGTAAAAATATTAAAAAAAACATCCATAGACCAAACATGACTAGCCGAATTGGACGCAAGTATCATCATCAAGAACATTGAGAAGGCCGGGAAGGTCAAAATTGCACAGCTGGACCTAGGTGCCTTCCTTCGAGAGGGGAGGGCACCTAGGTCCAGCTGTGCCCTCCCCTCTCCAAGAAAGCGAGTGTATCATGAGATAGACAATCGTTACGGTCGACTCAAGGAGCACTTTGCTGAGGGACTGAAAACCCGACTTGACTTCTTAGATGCTGCTGGCAAACTTGTTAAGTTAAATGATTTAGTGAAAACAGGGTACAGTCAGAATGATATTCAGTAAATGTTGGATGTCTGTTTTAATTCATTGTTGAATTTTCACAGAATCAGAATATGGAGAAACGCACGTTTCATTATGTTTCAGGTTGTATATGTGGGTGATACCATTTCAATGAAGAGGCAGGAAGCAAGTGCAGTGTATTCAACCTTGTCTTATGTTTGTTTTAAGCTGTCTGCAGGCTGGGGTGTCTACAAATGGGGAGCCACCGTCGTCTCATCTGAGACATTCTGAGCCAGCACGGCTTCATGGTGGAGACACGTAATGAAACCTGGGGTCTCTTTATCTTGTGATTACAGGACTCTTTATCAGTTGTCCAGTGACCTTAACTAAACAGGTCAGAAAATCACAGTGCAAGTGATATAATGACAATGACAATGACAAATTGTTTATTTTTGTCTCATCGGAGATACAGGATATAAATTTATATGGTGTTATTTGTAGTGAGATTTCGGACAGACATTTTGTAGCACATACTACCTAGTGTTGAAATAATATTATAATCATTTAAAATATATACAAGCTCAATATAGTTATTTAAGTTGCCATTTGTGGGGTTAAATAATTGTTGAAGGTGGGTAACACGGATATCATCATAAAGTGAGCAGTGGAGGAGAAAGTGAGTTTCATCTTCTACACATCCGGGGCAATATTTACAAAAAACGTTGGTTAACTGGCACAGGAGGATTAGAATAACGTCCCAATTGAAGTCCGAGCTTCATTGAACCGCATCTTAAAGATGATAAAACCGACCTTTTATAACAAGGAAGGAGGACATAAGGCTCTGTATAAATAGCTGTTTAAATGTTCTGTAGGTTCTCATTTTCGGTTTAGTTTCCAATGATTCAAGCCAGGTTTCATTATCATTGGACTTGAATGAAAGTTCTATCCTAGATAAAACCCATCTTGCACTCTTTTCATTACACTTTAAAATATCTAAAAGTCCATATTTGTCAAAAAATTCGTTGAACTCTTTTATCCCATGAATTACCACACTGTAAGGACCATTTGTGTATCTTATATGTAAGACTCTGTACGGGAAGACGTTCAAGCCTGCACCACAGCCGAGCTGTTTCTAAGTAAAGTTTCAACTGTGGGTCAGTCCATCCCATGTCGCCCCGCACAGCGAGATTACATGTATTACGTTGTACTCCAAGGAAAATACGACATGCTCTTTGTTGCACACTATATACCTGTGGATATTTACATATCCCCCATATTCCAGAACAATACATCAAGACTCAGTCTGTTTGAACAATGTTGTCGTACAGCTTAGTAAATACGTCATAGTGCATATCTCCGCACGAGAAGTACTTGTGGCTTAAATATCCAAGGGCACGTGACGCAGACTTCACGAGTTCTCTAACAGCATACCGCATATCACAATGCAAGTGCAACCAGAGTCCCAGATAACGGTAGCTGTCGGCGTAATCTAGGTCATTGTCACCACAATGAAAACTTCCGTTGTGCTGAGACGTGTTCCGAGGTCTGAAGTGTAAAACGTTTGTCTTCTTAATATTTACCCGCAGTTTCCTCTTCTGCGTCCATCTATGGAGGATATCTAGGAGATTTTGTAGACTCTTAGCGGATATATACCACCTGGGATAATATTGTTTGTTACAGTTTGAAACAATTTCAGGTCATATGTAGTTTCATTTTGATTTAATGCCTTTCAGTGTGGCATTATTCATTGTGTAAGCTGTAGACGATAGTAGAATGAGTTGTCAGTAATGCATGATTTATTGATTAACATTTGAACATTTGTCAGTCACATAACAACACTTCCACAGCGTGAATATGACTAAATCAGTAATGGATTCTCTTGTCTGAAGTCTTAAACAAAACATGGCTTCAGCGACAAGTATTTCCTTGAATCTTTTAGGGGCGCATCTTCAGCTACCTTGACCAACGCACACTCGAGATACGACTGAAAATGCATGCTGGTCTGTTTCGAAACACCTGCGTCATCAGTGATTTACTGTGATCCGTAAGGCATTCGTTGTATAACTTTTTACAATTAGCACGATTTAGCCCATGTGTTCATTATTCACTGCAGAAAAGTACATATATACTTGATGCATGCATTATATAAGTACATGTCAAATAGCTACGCGATAAATTGCAAAGAACAATGAAGAACGAAGCATTGTTTATTTCACGATAAAACTGTGCTCTATCATGACGTCATTCAAACATGCGCTCGCAACTTGATGACGTCTAACATTTGGAAAACGTTATATTTGAGAGAGAAGTGTCTTTTGAGATTTCCCCATAGATGTAGTTGGGCAACGTAGATTAAAGCAATGACCGAACGATCGCTTACAAAAGTGGGAGAGATATGACAATCGCGATCGGTATTGGGAGAAAAGATACAGATAAATAAGCCGGAAAGACTAACTTTAGCTCCCCCTGTTCATAAAGTGGACTCGTCCGACATTGACCTATAACGTCTTTCTAAACTTTCTCCACTGCAGATATCATAAGTGTACACGGGGTCATCTCCCATTTGTCAGACACATTAAAACAGCTTTTATGGTTGAGGGCACATCAGGTGTTTGATATATTCCCTTAAATCCGAATAGACTAGTCCTGTCGTCAACAACTGTCTGACAATTGGTACAAAAGAAAACAAAATTTATACAAATCAGTGTTTATTCTATATTTATTATTGCTTTATCCTTTGGAATATATTATTTCTGTCTACTTCTTCAATATTCTCCATGTCTTCAATCAGACGAAAGATGTTGGCGTGTCGATAAGGAAGAGACATGTTCAGCCGATAGTAGAAACCTTCCAGATTGTTGTTGGAGCCTAGAGAATCATGATGATTCCACAATGGTATCCGGTATCGGGCATCGTCGTCGACCCGGTTGACTACCATGTAGTCGTTGAACTGCACAGCTCTAGGCACGTCAGGCGTGGAGTTCGTGGCCTATTAAACTCTCTTGTAAAAAAAGGCTGGAAGCACCATCTCGCAAACTTCAGTGAAAACAAAGTTCATGTTTACAGTTTAACCAAACCGTTTAAAACTTCAAAGAGATTGCCAGTGTCTGTGTCATAGAGGTTATCGCGCGAGTGTGTTTGGGGATGGTAAATATCCTGCATTAGGAATAAACATTGTATTTAGGGAGCCTTGGCGAGCTAAATACATAGTGTTTATTCCTAATACAGGATATTTACCATCCCCAAACAGACAAGCGTGATAACCTCTTTATCATATAATGTCATTCTTTAATTCTGTGCTTGAAAATCGCTTTCCCTCTCTCACAAACATTACCGAAACATTGCGAGTTTTCCTGGAATGCGCGCATTAATATTTATTACGTCACAGGGTAAGTGATGTGTCAGTCGGACAGTGACAGTAACCAATATAGTTCCAACTGAAATATGTTTCTTATACAGTGGCGAAGCAACATATACGCAAAACAACAATTGTTTTTAATTGCCTTTCGCGGCAATCCATCGGTCTGTCCGCTAGAGTAACTGCCCTTTGTCAAAGGGAAGCTACTCTAACCCTAGTCTATGAGACGTCACGGCCACGGTCAGACCTTGTTGACAGTCGGTCTGTCCTGTCATAATGTAAGAAGTGTAGTCAGATGTACACACAGGGACAAAACGAAACAAGGTAACAATTCAAACATATTTCCGCCAAATCCAACTATTTTAATTTGTGGAGAAGGTTTCAAGCCGCAGAGGTCTACAAGCACAGATATGGCTACTGATCCCGCTTGGCTAGGCCTCGTGCCCTCGCAAAATTGTTTCGAAATTTATATCTCCAAACTTGCCAAAATTTATAAAATGCCTTAGTTACGGCACGGTTAGACACTGATTTTCAGTATTTTAGACTGTTCTTTTGAAAATGATAGCAATTATCCCTGTAGTTTATCCAGATTCCCGATGGTTAATTCTGACTCGATCGCCGAATGACGAGGGCGACGCCATGTTTGTTAATAAACAGTAAAAGTAGTCCCTACTTGACCTTTGATATTTGCATCTTTATCCGCATATGACCCCAACGGATATCGTTTTTATCCGTTGGCTTTATCCTGCCGAGAAACCTACACATTATATGATAAATATAATTATGAGTAAAGGGATACTGTACTGTCTGACAACTGGGTGTCTGACAACTTGGTGTCTGACAACTGGGTATCTGACAAATGGGAGGACCCCATGATAGGGGATTTGACATAGTCAGAGTACTCTCCCTTCGTCCTTTCCTTGGGTGGTGGTACCTCTGTGTGAGATATAAAGACTTGTCATTCAGTGGGTACTGTTAAGCGCCACGGCCATTTAAAAACTTTACCGTTTATAAACGCTTCCGTGTTCTGTGGTGTTAGTTTGCAGGGCGTGTGAAGAACTGAGTTTTTACACATAATAGACGCGCTCATCCTGCATAGTATCTGCGTTTCTGTATCCCTCATTCGCTCATCGTCTGATATCAGTTAGTTCTACACATCACTACGGGGGCTATGGATCGCCCCGTAAGAAAAGTCTGCCAATTTGGGGTGTGGGATTTACTCCGTACCTCTACAAATCATTAAGTATATAAAAATCTATACTAATCCTTTTCTTAATCACGTACCTTTAAATACGTACACCAACCATTTATCGCTATTATCCGTGTTATTTCTGATGTTACGGAAATTAATATAAAGTGTACAATACAAATACATTTGAGTATGCGAGTCAAATATATATCATCTTAGGGCACTAACAGAACTCTGAGAAAATTGTGCGCAAGTTTGACAGGTTTGTGTTTTTTCTGCTCTTCTGTGCTATCGGTTTTATTAATATTTCATACGCTGTCTTTCCAGACTTGGGTTTCCATGACAACTTTCCTAGCAGCATCACGGACACCCGTCATTGTGGACACCTGCCATTACGGACACTCATTGCGAACAACTGTTATAACGGACACTCGTAGCGGGCACCTGTCTTTTCAGACACTCATTGCGGACACCTGTCATCACGGACAATCATAGAGCGCACCTGTCACCGCAGATGCCTACAGTGTGAGCGGCACATCTCATCTAACTGTTCTGTGACCTGGACTTATAGTTAACTCACAAGTAAAACTGGTGTATAGTACAAGCGACTGGCCATACTCTAAAAGTGCCCCCATCCATAAATTATTGAAGTAAGATCTCTCTTATGTATCTATTGTGGCCCAGACCAGCTCCGTAGAAGTGTGTTGCCAGTGTTACAGGATACACTCAAAGGCAATCACTACATATTTTCACGCCTGTGTTTAGAAATCAAGAGAAATGAAAGTAGCCTGTCTTTGCTGATACACTGTCTTTGAATTTAGTATATATCTATGTTCGTATGTTACTCCTGGTCTAGGGGCGGTGTGGTAGCCTAATGGTTTAAGCGTTCGCTCGTCACGCCGAAGGCCCGGGTTCGATTCCCTCCATGGGTACAATGTGTGAAGCCCATTTCTGGTGTTTCCCCGGCATGATATTGCTAGAATATTGCTAAAAGCGGCGTAAAACCATACTCCCTCACTCACTCATTATTACTAGTCTATGTAATATATCATACATATCACATGTAATATATCATACATATCACACATTCATTAAAAAAAATGTTTTGAGATCATATGTTCCAACGTTTACTTTGTTTTTCTGCGTCTTTTCGGGTTTTCGGAAAAAATGGATTATTTGAAATAAACGCCCAAGCATCAACATCGTTATATTTTTTTTTTGTATTAGGTGATATTAAAAGGAACACACAAAGTTCAAATTTACTGAGTGTAAATAGAAAAAACATATTTCAATGGAGGGATAATGTAAATTGGTCATTCATCGTAACTCACGATTGACATTTTTGACAGCTACTCGCGGAGAGTAGTTGGATGGGTAGCCGTGAGTCATGAGAGTTTCTAGGGCTTCCGTTCTGCCTCACGCTGAAGCACATGTAACATATGTGGTGTCTGCTTTGGAGAGTTATTTTGTTCTAAATATGCCTCTGAGCACCCAGTAGTGAATGGGTACCCGGTTGGGGAGGTTGTAATGTGACTTTTAACATTCTTGCACCTCACAGACTGCTAGGGTCGTACATTCCCCAGGGAGCTGAGAATGAAAACCGAGTGATCAAGTGACCGGAGTAATAATTAGAGGTCATTGTATGTCAGGCTTCATATCATACCCCATATCAACCCGGGGGTCGAAGGTTCATATCGGGTATGATACGAAAACTGGCATATAATAACCTTTTTTATCATATACAATTATAGAATTGTAAAATGTATCTATTCGCAAGTGAATGCAAAACATTTTCAACTTGTTTGGATATCATTGTCACGGGAATGGTATACAGCTAAGGGACGTAACTCTAATTTCTTACCACCCGGGCTGATATCGATCGCCCATTGCAAAAGTCATATAAGCCCGGCAGGTGGTGGAATAGGGGTCTGGTCATTACACCCCCTGTGATATGAACGCATCCATGTTGGCGCTAGTGCTCATACCAAATGTCTCATGTTATTGGTAGGTATAAGACAATAATATATGTAAAAGCCCGTTTGAACAGATACAAATTTAAAACTCCAGTAAAGTATAAAAGGTTATGTTCACTGCAATGAAAATATCACTTTTCTCAACTTCAGAAAAAACTCACACTGGAGTATACAATATAAGTACTATTGCAGCGTTATGGTTGGTGGGGCGGTAACCGTACTTCCGGGTGGATCATCTATTCTAAAATTTGTACTCCAGGTACCCCAGCAATGGAGGTTTTTGAACTGTCGAAAAGCTGGGTTCAGTTATTCGTTTCAACTGGGTGTAAAATGAATTTGTACCATAAGATGCGAATAACGCCATATATCCACTGTTTGGTTTACCATGTCCCTGGTTTTGTTGACCGCTATGGCTCAATTCGTGACTTCAGTTGTCAGGCCCTTGAAAAAACTAATGATGAAATTAAAAAAATACATCAGCAAAAATTTAAAAAAATGGGATGCAACTGTTGAGGCACTGAAAGTCAGGAAACGAATGGAGAACCATTTTCTGAATCGAGTCAAGCGCCAATACACCAAAAGGAAGCTTGTGTATTGGGAAGATACGATAAATGAAGTGAGACAAGGTAAAAGGTCAAACATCACTGAAGAAATTACATCTCAACCAGCTCAAGATGTCATTTTGGAGATGGCCAGCAAACTGAACTGATGTTTGCAGACCTGTTTATGTGTTTAGGACATGTGACATCCTTCTGTTGAAGATTAGCATAATGCATTATATTATTCATGTCTTCACGTAAATAAAAAGTTTTCCTCAATTCAAAACTTTGTTTATTTAGTTTGTTAGCTGATGTTTCGACTCGGTGCTTGTATAATTATTTCATGCATAACTATATCGCCATTTGTGGCACTTTTTAACAACAGGTAATATCGCAAAATACACTTCAAATGATTACATTCCGATTACATCATTATAAAACGGGGATAATAAAGTATTACATACCAAATTATACATTCATGAACTTAATACAAAACAATGTTCTTTTAGTTTTTCAAACAAACAGAAATGTAAAATATTTACACGAAATGTATTCATCACGTGGGTTCGAACGTAGAACGTACAGCACGAGAGTCGTGCTATAAATAAACACTAATTAACCCTTGCTAATTAACCTCAATTAGTACTGCAGGAGTTATCGCTGATGACATCAAGATACTATTTTACAACGCTTTATTGGGTTTCTATCGTTGTGGAAGAGTTAGGTCCCGTGTATTCTTGGATATAGGGAGGAGATTGGTCGCACACAGTCGCTGGGGGTGATGGGTATGGATAGAGAGGTCGACTAGCTTCCGTCTGGCAGACCGACCTCCCCCCCGGGATAACTGGAGGTAGCGGGTAGACTGGGGGCGCAGATGAAGCAGTGTACGGTGGTGGTTGTGGTGGTGGTGGTTGTGTTGGCGGCGGAGGCAGGGTTCCTGAAAGGAAACAATGTATGGGTACCCGAAGCTGCAGACTAACACCCATCTTCACAAAGCGAGGATAGCGTTGAAACTATCAACCGTAGGTCAATGTTGAAGTATGGGAGTGACAATCGTCTTGGCTCTAAACCCGCTTTGTAGAACGAGGCTCATTATGCAAATACACAAAGCGATCGTACAGCTGTTAACTCCCATACATTACCATTTATTTTAAAAAGTTGTAGCGCTGATCAGATCGCTTTGTACAAGTTAGCACTAGCTGCAGTTTTGATGTAGGTGTAAAGCCATTTTGCCATTTCAACTAATATTTATACCCTGTAACATGAAGTAGGTTCATCATGTGGCTGAAAAGCAAGGGAGACATTCCATCATCTTGGCACCGTTCATCTGGAACTCCCATCTTCCAAGCGATAATACTTTTAGGGACGTTTCTGTAAACTATTTAGGTTAATATGGCTCCGTGGAACATGCTCTTGCTGATCCCGGTTCGCCTCCTTCGAAAAGAGTGTTTGTTTGTTTGGTTGTTGTTCAACGCCGCACTCAGCAATATTCCAGATATACGACGGCGGTCTGTCAATAATCAAGTCTGGATAAGACAATCCAGTGATTGACGTCATGAGCATCCTCAACGCAAAGGGGATACGATGACATGCATCAACCCAGTCAGCGAGCCTGACCACCAGATCCCGTTAGTCACCTCTTACGACAAGCATAGTCGCCTTTTACGTCGACAAGAGTGAGTTACAGGGCCTGAACAACAATCATTACGGTTGTGTACAATAATCATGTGTTTTACGAGCTTGATATATGAGAGGAATTGTGTTATTTCAACTAAGACATGTTCACAACTAGATACCGCTGGAGCTTAGTATATGTTACCAACCTTGGCGGATAATCTGACCAGGATGCACGGGCGTGGTTCGTGTGATTATCCAGATCACAACTCTGATGAGGATTAAGACGAGGGTGATGCCAGCTACTGATCCAGCCACAGCCGCGACTATCACCCAGGTGTCGATAGTAGATACATACCTGAACAGGCAAATGAACAAGATTACCAAAATAAAAACAGGATATGTGTTTCTCATTGATTGACCTAACAAGGTTAATATTTGAGCGGCGCACCCACGAGTGACAACTCTTTCATGTCACAAGATGAGATACACATGTTAATTGACAACAAGAGACAAACGCTCTACGTTATGTATGTTCTTAGCATGTTATAAGGGTAAGAGACAAGGTCAGCAATCTGAATATGTTTTGGGGTTTGTGTGAGGGAAAATTTCAGCATGTTTGGGTCGGAGACAAGGTAATCAGCGTTTATATATATTTTCTGTAAGGGTAGGAGACAGGGTGAGAAACGTGTATTCTTGTAAATGTAAATATAAAAGGTCAGATACTTGTATAGATTTATTTGTGTGGGTAGGAAACAGGATCAGCAACTTGTATATGTATTTATGTTAGGATGAAGGGAATATGTGTATGTATTTATTAAGGTTAGGAGACAGGGTCGGCAACTTCTATATGTATTTATGTTAGGATGAGGGGTCTGTATGTGTAAATATGTTAGGGTTGGAGACTGAGTCAGCAACTTGTATATGTATTTTTCTTTGGATATGAGACACGTGTCTGAAGTCTTTTCTGGATTCAGCGACAAGTGTTTGGTTGAATATTTTAGGGGAACATCTTAAGCTACCTTGCCCAACGCACGCGCGAGATACGACTGAACATGCATGCTGGTCCGTTTCGAGAACACCTGTGCCATCAGTGATTCACTATGATCCGTAAGGCATTCGATGTTCAACTTTCGCTTCCATGTTATTTGAACTCATCATATGCATGTCTTGTGGCACAGATGCATCTATTTTTATGACGCAACTTGTATATGTATATTTTTCTGGGTATGAGACACGTGTATGTTTCAAATATAGCCCATCTATGGCCTAACATAGTATGCCAAGTCTGCCATTACTTTTTAACCGCTTTACAACACCCGTTGTTATCCGCCCCGCAGCAGTTGTTTTCACAGTGGACATTTCTGATGCGGAAGTTGACGTTCTCGTCCATGTAGATCTCCTTACAGGTTGTGTAGCCTAGGGCCCCTGAAAACACAACCACAAGCAATGCCACGTCACTACACAGTTATAATCTCATTAAGTCCTGGGACAGCTTAGGAAACGACGAATTTATGTTCTTGGATGGGTGGTGGTGGGTGGGGAGAATTGGTCCAGAAAATATTGGAAAAGAAAAAAATGTGGTCTCAGACGTTTCCTCAGGATTTGCTGATGGTGAGTGAGTGAATATAGTTTCACGCTACTTTTAGCAATATTCCAGCAATATAACACCAGGGGACGCCAAAAGGGCTTCACACGTTTCACCCATGCGGGTAATCGAACTCGGCCTAAAACATAATATGAAATGAAACTGATTTTAGTTATTGTAAACTGATGAACACCAAATAACTTCTTTAAGGATAAAATATATGGATGGACAAATTCTTTATTACAATAGGAGCGACCAACCTCGAAGACTTCAAAATTAGAAAACTACAAGAAGCCATCAACATTAAAAGACTCCAACCATCAAACACTTGCTTGATAACGGTGTTAGAACCTACACCAAAACGTCGCTCCTATTGTAATAAATAAGTTGTTCATGAATATATTGTATCCATACTGAATACCAAATAGTTTTCATATAATACTAATAATATAAAATTTCTGTAAGCTATAGTAGTATATGCAGGCACACGTTCTTGACAACTTGCACGCCAAATTGACAGCCATGCTGAGGAGAGAAACATGCGGTTTTTTAATGTCAAACTAGGTTATAAATGTGTGAGTTTCAAATGTTTAAACAACTTTAAAGAGGCTACATGTAACCTAACTCTATGTTATATCCACTATACTAGGACAAAAAGAAACACAAACTCTTTGGTGTTACAGCAGATGTTGAGTGAAGTGGCATGGGCTGAGTCCAATGTTTAAGTAGGTTGGCGATCTGAACAGAGGAAATGCCGATAATACTCATGATCATGTTTTAAAAAAAAATATGGCAATGCATATGCATGTAAAGAACATTGTTATTTACGTTATGACATTATGCTGGCATGTATAACAGGCATTCAAGGTATGTAGCATACGACTTGGTAAGAGCCGCTGACACGACTTCTTGGATTCAGACAAGCCCCAAATTTCAACCTCTATGATTTCTCTTTACCCTTGAAATCTTAGTGGATTTCTATCCTGTTTTCTACCAAAAGGCATTGTTACACATGCACGGTAGCCGTAACTCCTTGGTCCGTAATGAATAATGAAATTATTATATATATCATTATTTCAAAATGCCTTCAAAAAATGACTGTAATTATAAAGTAATTGTACATCATCTTAGCTTCCTCCTTGTTAAATCCGATGTTTTTTTTGTTATTGACCAATCGGTGGGAATTATATTCCAAATTCATGGTTGACTAAATAAATAATTATATACCCCTTGTCAAAAGTATCGCACCACCAAATATAACTGTAATTCCGAGTTAGAGAGAAGATACCATTTCAGTTCCATGTAGTTAGATACGTTCATATTGCTCGTATGCCTATTTTATTTGCATACAAACAATGTCACTCAGTTCTTCCACGACACTGGTACTGGACATGTTAGTCAGCATGAAATTACACTGGCAGAAAATAGAGGTATTTCAACTCCTCTACACGAGAGCATACTTACCAGGCAGAAAAACCAACAGGAGTCTCACACACAGATTCATGATTGCAGTGTCTCTGTACTCAATGTTGCGTCTTGCCTGTCCACTGTAGTCGTTTGTTTTGAAGACGTAGGTAGGGGTTACCTTATATTATCACCGTCCTTCATCGTGTCAGCTAGAACGAGCTGCATTGTAGTGCATTGACACGGCCATAACCATGGAAGACACAGACCTGTTACGAAAGGTTATGGTACGACTTGCACCAGATATACTAGACTGCATACAAAACATTTCTCATGTACATGTTTTTAAAAGTGAGGAGGGCGTTGGACTTAAATCATTTTTTATTGAAAGAGTCATAAAGGAGGAATGCGTTTTATATTGTTACAACCAAGAATACAATGTCGGCTGTCGCGCAGTTTGATTTATCCATAACTGTATGCGTATAATTCATTTGACGTGAGACCGCCTCCGTGGTCTAGTGGTAGAGCGTCCGCCCGGAGAGCGGAAGGTCCGGGGTTTGATCCCCGGCCGCGTCATACCAAAAGACGTTAAAAGATGGTACTTGTTGTTACCCTGTCTGGCGCTCGGCATTAAGGGGCTAAAACAAAGACTGGTCGGCTCGGAGTCAGTATACTGTGTCCGAGTGGGGTATTCATGTTAAACTGCGTCATGGTATCTCAGTGAGCTAGCACTATAAATCGGCATCAGTCCGGACTAGTACAAGCAGACACAGAAACACACACACGTACATGCACGTCGCTATATAAGTGCAATAATTTTGGACGCGACGTTAAACTCCATTTCACTTCACCTCACATCATTTGACGTGAGAAATTTGATACACAGTTTTTCTTGGCATTAAAATGACTGACGAGCAGGATTGGAAGTGACGCTCCGATGCCGGATAAACATAATATTTCCTCTCCTTATAGCAAGAGCCAAACAGCTGTTGAGGTGTAGTTGAAGTGATATTAGGGTTAACGCAGTGTTGAGTTGAAAATCATCTTCTCGAAATAGTTTTTGTAAAAGATATTGAGACAAATCATGACTAACTTGTGCTTTTGGTGTGGTCCATTGACATCACATGAATTCGGTACCTATGTACTCCCAAGGTTGTTTTATATTATTATTTATATTATATGAGATAGTAGTAAAAACATTTATGAATACAATATATGAAAATAGATCCAGCAAGGACAAGGTTCATGATTTCAGCCAATCAGCAAGGTGTTAATTATGACACAATAGTTTCATAACAACTTGCTATGTTACTCCTTTACGAAGTACCATATGTGTAATACATATTTTCACCCTGGATGGCCACCCTAGGCCTATTTGGAAGCTAGACCACTGGTGCTGCTACGTGAATATTATTACCACTGCTAGTTTATGCTATAGTGTCAAGGTAATTGCACTGCCATTGAATTGTACTGCTCCTCTATTGTGTAGTGCTATTGTAATTGATGTGCAGTAATTTGTATTGTTTGACAGTTGTCAATTGTATACCAGTTCTTTGTTGTTTGTTGGTTTCACACTGAATTCTTTTACTTATAGATTTCTGGGTTAACTTATTGTCTCAGTCTGGATGTTTGGAAGTCGATACAGGACAACATTTACGTTTTTACTGTGTTTTTCTTCTCAATATCCTTAATTATTTATTCACTACTAGTATATACCTGGAAAATAATTAACACTTACACATCTTATCATGATTCAGTATTAAATTGCATATTTTAGAAATTTTAGCCTGTACAGTAAACTACGGTTATAACGAACTCAAAGCGACTACAAATTTTAGTTCCTTAAAACCGTAGTTCGTTATATATACATATACAGCATGACTACAGCAAGTAGTCGGGACCAAAAAGTAAGTTCGTTATATCCGTCAGTTCGTTATAAGCGTGTTCGTTATAACCGTAGTTTACTGTATTTATTATCTGACGAAACGTTTGTTTTTGTGTACAAACTGACATACTCATATGTTCATACAGAAACTGAAATTGATTGCGTTATGATGGTTCTTATTATTCCAATTATTTTCACTGCTTCTGCGTACATGTATCATACCATATGAAGGAACACAGATGTTCTACATTCTTATAAAGTGTTCTTATTCAAACATTTTCATCAGGTATAGATGGTATCATGTATGTCATGATATGTGTATAATTAAATGAGAGTCAGTAAGTTCGGAATATATCTTCCAGGTGTTATGTCAGGTCAAATTCTTAAATATGTGTCGACTATTTACAAGACAGTATTTCATTTCAAATTTCCATCGAGATAGGAAATAGTTTTACACGATTACCATGGTTGTATAAACGTATTCGATGGTTTCTGTTAATGTTAAGTCGATTGAAATGGGTCCAAGAACAGCAACCTAAGTAAATATCAAACTACCATTTGATGGTCAAACACTGCATGATAATTTCGATCAACCTGTGAGGTGAGGTGAGGTGAGGTGAAATTGGGTTTAACGTCGCGTCCAAGATTATTGCACTTATATAGCGACGTGCATGTACGTGTGTGTGTTTGTGTGGCTGCTTGTACTAGTCCGGACTGATGCCGATTTATAGTGCTAGCTCACTGAGATGCCATGCCCCAGTTTAACATGAATACCCCACTCGGACACAGTATACTGACTCCGAGCCGACCAGTCCTTGTTTTAGCCCCTTAATTCCGAGCGCCAGACAGAGTAACAACAAGTACCATCTTTTAACGTCTTTTGGTATGACGAGGCCGGGGATCGAACCCTGGACCTTCCGCTCTCCGGACGGACGCTCTACCACTAGACCACGGAGGCGGTCTCACGTCAAATAAAGTATACGCATACAGTTATGGATAAATCAAACTGCGCGACAGCTGACATTGTATTCTTGGTTGTAACAATATAAAACGTATTCCTCCTTTATGACTCTTTCAATAAAAAATGATTTAAGTCCAACGCCCTCCTCACTTTAATAAAAATGTACATGAGAAATGTTTTGTATGCAGTCTAGTATATCTGGTGCAAGTCGTATCATAACCTTTCGTAACAGGTCTGTGTCTTCCATGGTTATTGCCGTGTCAATGCACTACAATGCAGTTTATAGTGATAGTTTATTATAGTGTTTTGTGTATTCATTACCGCCTCCGTGGCAAGTGGTAGAGGATTCAACCCGCTGCCGTGTCATACTACGTTAAATGATGGTACCGTCTGTTGCTCGGCATTTAAAACAGGGACTGATCGGCTCGTCGGCACACACACCCATACACACACGCACACGCACACACGCACGCACACACACACACACACACACACACACACACACACACACACACACACACACACACACACACTTTCATGCGCGTCACTATATAATCATTGATGCGACGCCAAACCCTATTCCAACCCCTCCCGCCATTTCGATACAGAAGAAGAAAGAAAACTAGTTTATTTTTGTCATACCCACCGTCGTGGTCGCCCCGAGAGAGACAATAAGACACAGATGTTACAATATACATACATATTAAGTCCTCTTTTAGGAACACCGGGCCTCGCAGGGTCTAAGAGACACCTTGAGTTTGTGGAACATATAAATATATAATACCAACACATATTCTATCATATATTCTACCCCTGAATACGCACGAGATAGTACAATAACGACATGTCATGCACCTTAGTCATATCACCACGAATAGGACATGTGATTACATCTCCAGCTGTGTGCCTATTCTATACCATGTAAATAACTGTATTATACAGATTGTACTTCGAGATATATAAGAAAGGCTTTGCACTTATGCCCGACTTCTAGCTGAGGTAATCTTTGCATGAGGCCAGGAGAAGAAATGAATATCCCCACAGGTCACCAGTCTCGGTGTGGTGTTACGGGGTCGCCAACATTGGCCTATGTCCAATCTGATAACAAGTTATATGTTCGCAGGCAAGTTCAGTTGTATCTGTTCATCTATCATGAGTAAGTTACGTCTCTTTTCTTACCTAAACATGGGACGCCTCGCCAGGCTAGTAGATAGAGCGTCAGTCCGGAGAGCAGTAGGTCGGTGGTTCGATCCCGGGCCATTATTGTTACCCTGCCTGATAATAGGCATTAAACGGATAGAACAAGGAGCTGTCACCTCGGAGTCAGTATACTGTGTCTGAGTGGCGTATCCATGTTAAACTGCGGCATGGTACATTGTATCTCAGTTGGCTGACACTACAACACTGGCAAAGTCTTGACCGGACCAAGCAGCAATACACACAAGTTCTTTTGAAACTCATACGTTCAGTAAAGTGTTATATAACCACAGGGAGGATCATTGGTTCGCGTTGTTAGGAAGATGGATAAGACTGTCCCGGACGTTAGTTACAGTGTGACCCGTGAAGATCCGGGTTAGAATAGGTTTTCAGCAACCCATGCTTGCGTTAAAGGCAACTATGCTTTCGTCAGAGGCGACTTACGGGATCGGGTGGTCAGGCTCGCTGACTTGTTTGATGCAAGACATCGTATCTCAATTGCGTAGATCCATGCTCATGATGTCAATCACTATATTGTCTGGTCCAGACTCGATTATTTACAGACCGCCGTCATATAGCTGGAATATTGCCGAGTACGGCGTTGAACTACAAACAAACAAACAAACAAACAACCAAAATGGTTACATTGTGATAAGATTCTCTGTTGGAACCTTCTTGTGTATGTACACTGTGCTAGTTTTGTTAATTGAGAGAACATTCACTTGTTTCGTTCAAAGGACACGCTGAAGGTTAAATGGCCGTAACTTTGAAGTTGGTCCCATTGTATGTATTCTGGCGAATTGTGACGCTGAAATTGGTCATGTTATAGTTTTGTTTTGTCTGCGAGTTTCTCTTTGGAAACGTTTGATATTCAGTAATTGTAGTTTTCCAACGATTCTTGAATGTAATATTTTCGTTGTGTCTTTTAATTTATTCGTCAACCTCTAAGAAAAACAGGGTATATTTAACTGCACGTCCTTACTGCTTCAGCCAACCGAGGTGTTGAACTATACACCGGTGGTCCAGTTGTCTAAGTCGCCGCAATGTGCTGTGCAGAGTTGCGCCTTTAAGCCCCCATTACACAGGGCTACGACCTTTGTGCCACCATCGAGCGATCAATGATCGCTCAATGATCGCCTAAACCAAGGAAACTCATGTTTCTGTGTAACTGCTCCGCCAGTTGTTCAGCAGTAACTGCTCGAGTTGTTCAACGTCTGCAACCACAATGAAACACTGCAGGTACAAGCCCTTTATTTATAGGCAGGCTGAGGAGGCACTACAGGTAGCTCAAAGGAGGCAGAATAGAGGCAGAAGCATTGCCATGGTGTCTCAAATGTTGCCGTGGTCGCCGAATGGAGGCACGGCGGTCGCCGTACTCGTCGTTCAATGCACGCTGTTGGTCGCCCAAAGAAGGCACAAGGGAGGCAGAAGCATCGCCCAGAATTACGGGACAGTATTTCAGCAGAACGCAGCTATAACCTGGCGACCACTGTGTCTTCATTCTGCAACAACGGCAATGCTTGTGCCTCCCTTCTGCCTCCTTTGAGACACCTTTGAGCAACCAACCTCCTCGGCGACCTTTGTGCGACTGTTTTGAACATGTTCAAAAATTCACGTCGACCATGGCGTCCATGGCGATATCTGAACCTCCTGTGTACTACATTGGAACGACTAAGGCAACCATTCTGCCTCCTTTGAGCCTCCAACGACGACCTGGTATATATTATGGTCGCACACGGGAGGCACAAAGGTCGCTATCCTGTGTAAAGGCCCCATAGGTCTAAGACCCTGGGCTTCAATCCCTGTTCGCTCTGATTTTGTTTCTATGTTTGTCAGCAAACTCGTACCCGTGGGTAGCCGTCTGAGAACTGCCTCGCTTCAGGCTTCCCTCCCACATCAAGCTTGTTTTCCGTGAAATACTGAAATACTGTTGAAGGCGACATTAAAACCCAACTCACTCACTCGCTCAAATTTACAAAAGAGAGGAGTAATGACGATTGTTTGTACATGCGCAAATTCGACACATTTCGCAACTTACACTTTATTAGATATATCTTTAAGAATTGACATTTGTACAAAAGTCACAACCTTAAGGACAGCTGACTACACATTGTTTGATGCATGAATCATAGTGTAGCAAACAGAGGAGGGGGACACCAGGGCTTCACACACTACCAATGTGAGGAATCGAACCCAGACCTACGGCGTGACAAGTGAACCCTTTACCATTTACCCACAGCCCAAATGTAGCAGGGCGTGGAGTCGTCAGACAGATGACATCCTCACCTTGTCAGCTAGCTGACGGGGTTAACCTCTTTGGTCATGTGGACGTCCGACCTCTGATCAGAAGGTCCGTGGTTCGAATCCCATCACGGGACTTTATGGCTGCTACAAAAACACAACTCATGGTTTGGTTAGTACCCTTTAAGTAGTAGGGTGCCTGTGAGTCACTTGAAAGTAAACAGTTACATTACCATCTCATTCTACCGGGTACCCATTTACTGCTGAACTGAGGAGACATCACATGTGCTACATGATCACCAATGTTGATAGTAGTAGTATAAGTAGTAGTAGTAGTAGTAGTAGTAGTAGTATTTGTAGTAGTTGTAGTTGTAGAAGTAGTAGTTTGGGAGACAGGGTGTTATATGTGCTACAAGTTGCTCTGTGGTATCAGCCGTGGTTCAAGCAAAGGTAGACCTTGGTGGGGCACCAGCTATGGCTTCCGCTGGTTCACTTCCGGATGGGCCGGCGGCGCCTCCTGGGAACGGTTGTACTTGAAGGGGCTGCGGTCCAGGGTACGGGTTATGCCCCCTTTTATCAATTGGTCCGGTCTCGTTGTACCCACCCAGGGGAGGGGAATACTCTGGCGGTGGGGGTGCTGCTGTTGTGTAGGGGGGTGGCTGCGCGAGACCCGGCCCTGCAGTGAAGGATACATACGTTATTATTAGAATATGGCATCATATCCGTCAAAAACGTCCCTGCTATGTATGCTAGCTACGCGCAACAAAGGAACAATAGGAAACAAAAGCGACAAAAACAGTCAGTAATCAAAAGAAATCTTTGCTAAAGGATGGAGTCGGTTGTCCGAATCCTACTATATCATGAGTGTTATGAATCACCATCAAGCAGTGATGATACAAAGTGTTCGCGACAAAAGACGTCATTGGGCTACGAGTCGGGCGATTATTGTAAAATGGCAAAGGATGACAGGACAAACAAGAAGCAGCGCTTCCAAAATAACTGATGAAACTGACTGAGCCTGAGAGACGGGACATCGCGCCATGACTGTGGCTCAACAGTATGTTGCCTACCGTAGCTGATGGTCTGTGTGTTTGTGTTCGAACTAGGATGAACCGTCCGTGATCGAGATCCATGTTGTGTTGTTTTAAAGAAGGCGTACATGACCGCTCCGATGATCATGCACACGACGAACAAGCCGAACAGTCCTCCCAACACGCCTCCCACAATGACCCAGGTTTTCGTGTAAGTGAAGGAACTGTGGAGAAAAAAGACACGACACGTGGAATCTATTTCTCAATCTATGTCCAGTCTATGCTTAGCCTATACTCACTCTATGCTAAGCCTTACTCAAGTCGGGCGGTGGGGTTGCCTTGTGGCAGAAGCGTTCGCTCGTCACTCGTGCTCGTGTGTTTCACCAAAGTGGTAAAGGTCTAACATCGTTCTGCATCACTTTGGGCTATCCTCCCACTTCATGCTGACACGCCGTGATATAGCTGAAATACTGTTAAAAGCGGCGTTAAACCCAATCACTCACTGATGTATTCAGGTTATATCATCACATATTGACTGTACATGTTGTACCGTAGCTAGTCATGTGTCCTGATAATGTTTCTAGGTTTGTCAGCTCCAAAACATTAAGGACCTATTCACTTCAGACTTTACACCGACATCCAACTGAAGCGCCGTGATATAAGTACGGAGCGGCGTTAAAACTCATTCATTGCACTCACTCCAGTGTAGTACCTGATTATGGATGAATCGTACGAACAACACTTGTCATCGTACGAAGTTCCACAGCAGTACCCGGTACAGTAGTATGTGGACTGTCTGTATTCCCATCGCCAGTAGTCCCAGTATGTCTTCTTACAGCTGGTGTACCCAGCTGCACCTACATAAATAATGGAATCTCTACAAGTATATTTCCAAACAGCATAGACCTGATAGGCTTATCCATATCATTCATATGGTTTAACATTATCTCTAAATATCATTACGAACGTTAGGGGCCAATCATTTTTGCCAGTGGGATATCTTTTGAATATCTTGGATATTTCCTTAATAAAGTCAACAAAAAATTTTGAGCAAATATTTTTTCCAAATTGTTTTTTTCTCCAAAATACATTCTTAAAAAAGGAAATGCATATGCTAACTTTGAAATGTTTTACTGTGTTTAGTTAAATGTGCATATTTCATTTAATTTGATTGGCACAAGGATGAAACTTAGCATGGTAATGGTCACATATAGACATAATGGCAATACTGATTGTCCTGTCACAAGACACGGACGTCCACGAGAGGGGCGTTCCGATCGGTATCTGGTGTGGCCACGTTGTTCTGTTATCACTGCTCTGCACTTCCTTGGCACAGACTGAATAAGTCTGCGGATTCCGTCATGTGGAATTCTCCTCCATTCATCCTACAACGCTTTGGCCATTTGTGCAAGTGTCTGTGGCATATGTTGACGTTGACGTACACGTCTATCAAGATCATCCCATATATAGAGGCTCTATCGGATTCGGATCCGGAGATCTGGAAGGCCATTAACGCCAGCTATATGACGACGGTCTGTAAATAATCGAGTCTGGACCAGCCAATCCATCGAATGACATCACGAGCATCGATCCACGCAACTGGGATACGATGACGTGCATCAACCAAGCCAGCAACCCTGACCACCCAATCCCGTTCGTCGCCTCTGACGACAAGCACAGGTTGCTGAAGACCTATTCTACCCCGGATCTTCATGGGTCGTTCGGTCTTCAAGAAGTCTATGACCTTGCAGATGATCGGGTTTCCAGTGCCCCCCTTCCATGTGGTTGGTGGTTCTGGGTTCATCTGTAGAGTAATGGTTCCACATGATGTGACCACGACTTACCCAGTTGACATCGGGATCATTAGGACCTGCTTCGAACCAGACGTCACTGAATGGTGGCACAGTGACGAGAGGTAGGTAGGGCCATGGCACGCGGACCAGCAGGTTGACACTGTGATCATCTATATGCAATCTTCAGTTTTCTTGATTTGTACATGTTCCCAAATTGTATGTCCATAATGAAAGAAGCACCCTTTAAAGATCACACCAGGAAGTGCTACCTCCACTGCATTCTGAGCTGCATACACATAGTCAGCAAATACATGTGTCAGGGTCACATTAGCTCCAATGTCCACATACAAGCGTGAACGGTGTACAGCTGAGTGAAAAAGTGAGGGTCATTTGTCAAAGGTGTAAGGTGTCAGCGTTGCTTAGATGGCGGAGGTTTTCGTCAGTGGCAAAGAACATGATCTTATTGTGGTCTGCCTCTGCTATCATCAGAAAGTTGTCAGTGGCCAAGATCATGATCTTATTGTGGTCTCCCTCTGCTATCATCAGAAAGTTGTCAGTGGCCAAGATCATGATCTTATTGTGGTCTCCCTCTGCTATCATCAGAAAGTTGTCAGTGGCCAAGATCATGATCCTATTGTGGTCTCCCTCCGCTATCATCAGAAAGTTGTCAGTGGCCAAGATCATGATCTTATTGTGGTCTCCCTCTGCTGTCATCAGAAAGTTGTCAGTGGCCAAGATCATGATCTTATTGTGGTCTCCCTCTGCTATCATCAGAAAGTTGTCAGTGGCCAAGATCATGATCTTATTGTGGTCTCCCTCTGCTATCATCAGAAAGTTGTCAGTGGCCAAGATCATGATCTTATTGTGGTCTCCCTCTGCTATCATCAGAAAGTTGTCAGTGGCCAAGATCATGATCTTATTGTGGTCTCCCTCTGCTATCATCAGAAAGTTGTCAGTGGCCAAGATCATGATATTATTGTGGTCCCCCTCTGCTGTCATCAGAAAGTTGACAGTGGCAAAGATCATGATCTTTTTATGGTTACCCTCTGCTGTCATCAGAATGTGTTCTCCAGCTGCAGTCTTTGGTGTAAACTTCTTGGGAACAGTCTGACCTCTCCTAAACATCACGCTGAACATTAACTCCCATGTACAACAAGTACGGAGAACCTCGACAGCTCGGAATAGACTTCGTGTTTGCTAATATGCAATGGTTGTCGACTAAAACTTGCAACATATTTACATACATCTACTGATAACGTCTTTCTGAGATTACTTCTAATCAGTATTCTATTTAAATTAAAAATAGTGTCAGTAATTAAAGTGAACTGAAGCTAACTTGACAGAAACAGTACAATGCAGTGTCAGTGTACGTTTGCTTACTCAATACAGGGCACTCTTAACACAAACAGACTAGAACGCCATGTTCATTCAGGCAGTACAGACGCTACATATTAATCTGTGTTAAGTGCCAGGTAGGTAAGGTGTACACCGCTCACTGCGTATTATCCATTTGACTTCATGCTGGTTGGCTAGTCAGGTCCAATTGTTCCATTGTTTTAATTGATTGTGACGTCATGTGAAAACATTGTCGCAAATAATTGAATGATAAGGTCATCCATTGTTCATGATCATTACGTTCAAAAACGATTTAGTGTGACGTCGATCTAAAGCCCCACTAGACGAAGTAAGAGGAAACAATTTGGGGGAGACCCACAACACAACACATTATGTTTCAGAACAACCAGCATGCATATGTCCACCTTTGGTTCTGAGTTAAGCGACCGCCTCCGTGGCCTGATGGTAGAGCGTCCGCCCGGAGAGCGGAAGGTCCGAGGTTCGATCCCCGGCCGCGTCATACCAAAAGACGTGAAAAGATGGTACTTGTTGTTACCCTGTCTGGCGCTCGGCATTAAGGGGCTAAAACAAAGACTGGTCGGCTCGGAGTCAGTATACTGTGTCTGAGTGGGGTGTTCATGTTAAACTGCGGCATGGTATCTCAGTGAGCTAGCACTATAAATCGGCATCAGTCCGGACTAGTACAAGCAGCCACACAAACACACACACGTACATGCACGTCGCTATATAAGTGCAATAATCTTGGACGCGACGTTAAACCCCATTTCACCTCACCTCACCTCTGAGTTAAGCCGAAGGACAAATAGTTTTGTTAGCATTTTCTTATATGATATGATATAAATATCATCGGGTGTTTCTGCATCGTAAATATCACACTTCGGCAAATATTTTCAATTCATCATACATATATGTTTGGTGCATGGAACAGCGGCAATAGACAAAATGATAGAAATGCATGGCAAATGTGATTTCACTTTCAAACGCCGGTTTAAGAATTTACAATTAATGTCAACGTTTAACATCTGAGAGAGGCTACCTAGCTGTGACGTAAAGGAATGTGTACCAGAATGGATGGTGTTAATCTCGAGATTTATCAGAGCATGATAATTAATATGTCTTTCTGTTTCCATATGGTCGTGAGGAAAACAAACTTAAATTGCTGGTAAAGCTTAAATGATAAATATTTTGATCAAATTTTTCTGACAGTTTTCAATCACAAATATATCGTGTTAAATATATAGATACCTAAGATGAATAACTCTCAAGGTGAAGGTGAATTTCAAGTGGCGCCCAAGACGTGAGTGTGTGTGTGCGTGCGTGCGTGCGTGCGTGCGTGCGTGCGTGCGTGCGTGTGTGTGCCTGCTTGTACAAGTCCGGAATTATGTCGGTTTTGTGGTGCTAACCCACTGACATAACATGCCGCAGTTTAACATGAATACTCCACTCAGACACAGGCGAAGGGAATCAATTCGAGCACGGAGGCGGTCGCATAATTCCTATTCTCAATACATTACATGTTCAGTTTATGACCGGACGCCAAGAAACAGCAGGACCTTAGGTACGTTTCCTCAGAAATTGATTTTTAATCACAAAGTGGATTGATGTTTTGTTTGGGGAGGGGTGGAGGGGGGGGGGGGGGGGGGGGGGGGGGGGTGGAGAGAGAGGTAAAAGGAACTTGTGAAAGAGATATAGTCAAGTTGACAAAGTGCCAAATAAATAAAGTTTGTAGAACGTAATCTGTGGCTGGGTCAATTTGTGCAAACAAAGATTGGTTCAAAGAAGACGGGGATAAGAAATGAACATGACCCCTACCATGTTTGAAATGTTGTAACTTTGTGCCGACAAAAGCAAATTTATAGATTTTCAAAGATAAGTTGTCTGACATACCTATCAGCAGTTAAAGTTTTAAATAAAATTATATTTTTGAAAAAAGAACCAACGTATAAGTGTTCTGTGAGTGCTGACTAAGCGCCAGCACAGTTCACTTTTGGGATATAATTTTTCAATTGAACATCAAATGTGATAAAATCAAATGAGGCGTAGGGTTTCCTTTGCTACTACAGCAGGGGTTGTTTCAACAGGAAGGCCCGACAGGTGTCAGGAGATGGAGAGGTTTGATGAGCGTGCTTAGGCATGAGTTTGTTCGACAACGTTTTTAGGGTTAATTCACACCAACATGTGCAGTCAAAATTAAGGACACAATAAAGGTCGCTCGTATCACACTGTCAGTTACACTCGTACTGGTCTTTAAAACGAAACAGGGTGATGGCAGCGCAGTGTTTAGGGCGGTAATCTCAATGAGGTCGTCCTAATTCATAAAATGTTTATTTTGAAAACAAAGGGAGACGAAGAAACCGAGCAATGGGGACAGAGAAACTGCGACAGAGACGGAGAGACTGCGACGCAGAAAGAGAGAGGATGTTGACATGTGACAGCGAGTGAAGGGCGTAAGACGGAGGAACATTATGATCAGATATATATGCTGACAATTTTCAATCACAAATATATCGTATTGAATATATAGATTACGGAGATGCATAACTCTCAAGGTGTTGGTGAATTGGAGTCGCGCCCAAGATTGTTGCATTTAAAGCGACGTGTGTGTGAGGGAGAGACAGAGACAGACGGGGGAAGGAAGACGAAGACAGACGGAGGAATGAAGACGAAGACAGACTGCATGAGTGAGAGACGGAGACAGACGGAGAAACGAAGGCGAAGACAGACGAGGAACGAAGACGGAGACAGACGGAGGAAGGAAGACGAAGACAGAATGCACGAGTGAGAGACAGAGACAGACGGAGGAAGGAAGACGAAGACAGACGGAGGAACGAAGACGAAGACAGACTGCATGAGTGAGAGACGGAGACAGACGGAGGAAGGAAGACGAAGACAGACGGAGGAACGAAGACGGAGACAGACGGAGGAAGGAAGGCGAAGACAGACGGAGGAACGAAGACGAAAACAGACTGCATGAGTGAGAGACGGAGACAGGCGGAGGAAGGAAGACGAAGACAGACTGCACGAGGGAGAGACGGAGGCAGACGGAGGAAGGAAGACGAAGACAGACTGCACGAGGGAGAGACGGAGACAGACGGAGGAAGGAAGACGAAGACAGACTGCACGAGGGAGAGACGGAGACAGACGGAGGAAGGAAGACGAAGACAGACGGAGGAACGAAGACGAAGACAGACTGCATGAGTGAGAGACGGAGACAGACGGAGGAAGGAAGACGAAGACAGACGGAGGAACGAAGACGAAGACAGACGGAGGAACGAAGACGGAGACAGACGGTGACATAGACTACGTAATGTGACTGAGAGAAAGGAAAGGAGACATAGACTACGTGAGAGAGGCCAATGACGTCTCACGTTATATTTGTCAGACACTGTAGTAAGATAGTGAGATAATTTATGATTTGGTTATCACTTGTATGGCAATGTATTTCATATACTTTTAAATAACGGTTTTAAGACATTGATCCTGTTCAATACTTACCTGACACAAATACGACAATGAGCAGTCCCAAGTTTAGAGTATCCATAAGTGTAGTGTTTAAAAGTCCCGCATGACAGGCGAAGGACTCATCTGGTAAATGAGAACACTGTCCCGACAACAATTATACCTCAAGGCAGTTTCACGTTTCGTTGATTACAGGTTTCTAAGACACGGAGTACACAAGGCGGCTCACTGCTGGCACAACATCAAAACAGGCCCTGTCACGGGCTCTCGTGTTACGTACATGTGTATATATTCTATAAGAAAAGTAAATTGAGCCTTCAGAAAGGTGCACACTTGTGTCAAAGTGCACTGATGGCTAATCAAAATGCATACAGGTTTTTTATAGGTTGCCAATGCCATGCATAAGAAAACAGTTATATGTTCTTTTAAAATTCACGGGGCTTTGAGATAGGTGGGAAATCATCTGTATACAGTCTGAAGTAATCCCTTTGTGACAAGTTTGATGTATCGGTCTCTGAGTGTAGAGTTTAAGTGGGTGCTTCATTTGTCTTGGGTTTCTTTATAGAGATTCAATATTCCCTTAGGTACTGGCGTACTGAAATACGCAAAAGAATCTTGGGCTTTTACTTCCATAGAATTCCTGTATCCATAATCTGTATTTACGTTCTACTGGTACCTCAGATCATGTTCACCAAATTTGATTCGCGAGAGCAGGATTTGTATGGACGGACATCTTGAAATTGACTTGAAATTTGCTCCAAATCATGTAACATAAATATGACTATAAATATTTCTCAGACAACAGTTGGTAAGTTTACTAGAGACTGAAGCAGACTTTTGTAATCTACAGAGATGACGTTCAGATTAATTATCTTGAATCTTGGTACACTGGTCGATGGATGTAGGTCATGCTGTAGGTCGAGTAAACATCGCCATGGCAATAATACAAACTTGGTACCCATGATGTCCACCACCACAGGAGTGCCCATCACCAAAACAGAAATGTTCTCAAAGATTCACAAACATTGTCGAATGCTATGACATCAAACAGAAAGTGATTCTCTGCATGGAATTTGACAATGATCAGTAGTGGTTCTTTACAGAAATAGATAAAGTGTGATAATAATATATAAAAATAACTTTTCAATCAAACCGAGAAATTAGAAGTAACCGTTTGAAGGTACAGCAGACAAATGGTTAAAAAGTACAGTCACAGAACATCTACATAAATAGTGCCCTGGGTTTGGAATATGTATTGGGAGTGTACAGTTTGGGAAAGTCATTGAAATGTAATGGAATTCATCAACAACATTGTAGTTGTAGCCATATCCTTTATTAGCATCGGATGCTGTTCCAGCTTCCACGCCTTTTTGGTTGGCAATGACCAGGTTCAGACTAAAACTAAAATATCAAAAAGATATTGGAGTTATTTTAAGTTTAAAATATGCAATGAAACCTTACTTTTGAGGAATATGAAATATATTTAAATGATAAATTATTGGACCACATGAGAATGTGAGTAGGGAGAAGTGACTTCCGCGGGAATGTACTTTATTCTCGTAATGTTGCATACATATTTTGTATCACCGTGTAACATAAGAGAAAGGTGAGGAATTATTGCTTTATACAATTGTTACCATGGATAGGCAATATAAGACAATAGCGCACAAGATGAAGCTTCACTATTTTGTACTAGTTGGGATTTTAAGGCTCTGTAATTTGCATAGGCAAACAGATATCTCAACTGCTGCAGTATCCCGTCAACAACAAACCGTGAATAACGTCAGAAAACATTATAGCGTTGGGGAGTAGATATTTAGACGAGAAATGTGGGTGATACTACTGATCACAATCGGCTGATACGTACAGGACAATGAAGTCGTCGCCCAGTGATTGGCATCAAGACGATTGCTCATCACAAACGTTTTAGAGAGCTGTGGACAGGGTGTCATGACAGTTGCGTCATTGGCGGCACACAATGTTCTGTGATGAGTCTCGACTTTGGTGAGGGCTGGAATCGTGTTTGGAGTCGTGTTCATGGGCTTTACCAGCACTGTACCGTATAGCAGAGCACGACTGATGTGTTGTGGGCTCTGTGATGTGCTTCTTGTATCACCAACATCTGTAGGACAGACCTCATCCAACTTGATGGTCGACTCCCATTATGACAGGTTGTTAGGCTGTTAGGCCAGTCGTGGTGCCCTTTGAGCGTGTGGTTGGTAAGTGTGAACTCCATCATACATCTCGTATCAAAACGTCCCTTTTGTTTAGGAATGAGAACACTTTGGTCCTGGCGTGACCAGTTAATAGTTTTAACTTCAGACCCATCTGAGGTGAGAATTTGCATCCCTGCAAGAAGAGTAGCACAGGTGCCAAGGATGCCATCAGGGCACTCAGAGCAAGTCAAATTGTCATAGCTTTTATAAATATTAAAAACTCATATACACTCGTGAAAAAAATAAGTGATGGCATCAATTGATTGGAAAATAAATGGCTTTGAATATTTAGCCAGTATTATGGGCCATATGACCTGAAGTACAATTGAAACTATAACATAATATTTTGTCACGTGAATATACAGACATTTCATTTTCTCAAATCTGATATTTAAAACATGTGAAACACTGAAATTATTACATGCACATCATTAATATTTCAGATTTACAATTATTATTCAAGAAAGAAAGTTGTATAGATCTTAACTATAACCAAATATATATGTTACACTTTAACGTCACCTCTGTCGCAATTAGTGCATACACTAAATTAACAACATCAATATCTTTACAACTTTTTGCATTGAAATTAGGCAATGAAATTCTAAATTCACAAAAAAAGATCTTATTAATGATAATGGTAAGACAGATGAATACATTTCAGGTTGAAGTTGTTACTTAAATTAAATGTAATTGCTTAGATAATGTGAAGAAGAAACAGTTTCATGACAGTTTTGCACAAATAGAGCTTTCAATCTCTGCTTAATTATTCCAACAAACATTTTGATTGTCACCAATATCCAGTGCAATCCACACAAAAGGAAAAGGCACATCAACATATAGGATTCCTTACTTCAGCTACCACATTATGTTTTCCTTTATCATCCAATTGCTTCAACAACTTTGATCACGAAAGAGGATTTCTGCATTATTCCATTCTATAGACTTCATCCAGTGTTTACCTAACTGACTATGTGCAAGTATAATGCAGCATCCAGTTTCACCACGAATTGATTTATCTGAGGTATATTTACCAATACACACAACACGTTTGAAACATGAGGTATAAACGTTTATTTTGCGAAATATTTGTGCACAAAGATTGTGAAATGCATATAATATCAAATGTCTGAAAACCGATAGCGGAAACCAGCTTGAGATTGCGATATCAAATAATTAATTTCCATCCATGTTCTCAACCTCACACAAAATTAACTATTTGGGTTCGTATTTTTTCCATGATTTGTAAAACGGGATGGTCACGAAGTTCAAAGAAAAAGGGAATCTAAAACTTTATTTCAAAAGTGGAATGAGGAAAGGTCTCGTTGCATATCAACTAGTGTAGGAGCAAACGAATTATGGAGAAAAAACCCTCCAAGTACACCTGGGAAACTGTCAAACACACCCTTCTTACATTCAGTTATCTTCTGTGTATATATACTGTAGGACCTGAATATCTGTTTTCCCCCTTTGGAACATGACCAGGTTTCTTATCCATACTTCATCACCAACTGGAGTTTTTGCGCCTCGCAAGTTATCTGCTCGCTCCTTGTACTTCAACTGCTTTTCTGTGACACACGTCCTGACGCCAGCAAGACTTTTGTTAGGAGCCTTTGTGACACCTGCAATGTCAAGACCTGTTCTCATCTTCCGACCATGTAGCAGGAATGATGGTGATTCTTCAGTAGTTGCATGAGGAGGTGTGCAGTAAATGCAGAGAAATTCTTTCACTAAACGCTTGAGTGGTTTACTCTGGATTTTAGCAAGTTTATGCAGCTTTTCAGAATCCTGTTGACACGCTCAACAAGCCCATTTGTTTGTGAGTAGTACAGAGCAGATTTAATGTGCTTAGTATTTCTGTACTTCAGAAATTGTTAAAACTGAGTGGAGACAAATTGTGAGCCATTGTCTGACACAATTTCAAGAGGATATCCTTCCCGACTGAAGACTGTTTGTAAGAATTTGATGATAGTTTCTGTTGTAACACTTGCCGAGAATCCTACTTCTGGCCACTTACTGAAATAATCAACCAACGTAATAGCAAAACGACAGTCAGCAGGGGCTTTTTCAATTGGTCCCACTATGTCGATAGCCGCTTTTTCCCACGGGCCTTTAGGCCATGCTGTTGGAGTCATTGGAGCATATCTAGTTGAAGCAGATTTATCACTGGTATTACATATCTCACAGTTTGCTTGCTTCTCTTCGACTTGACGATCTCTTCCTGGCCACCAGTAGAGCTGTGAGCGAGTGGAAATTTGTCCACAACAATAGCCTCATTTGCCTTCTCAAGTCAACACATACTCTTGGCTCTCCCGATTTCTTCCACGCAACAGCAATTGGAGAAACGCATTCCGAAGCATCAACTTTTTCAATGATTTCCTTCTAATTCTCTGGATACTTTATCTCTCACTGCAAGCGGCAAGCAGCGTAACTTCTGTTGTACTGGTTTACAATCGGCTTCATTTTCACTTTGTGTACGAATCCCTTGGCCAGACCTCTACCTTCAAACAGTTACTTGTACTCTTGAATAATGTCAGTACCCTGCTTATTGCCCAGGACAACAGAATCCACTTCGTTGCATTTCAGCTCTCTGCCAACAATAGAAAGGTAAAGAGAATGTATCAGGTCAAGCCCTAGAATGCAACTTCCTTTTGGCACAAAGTCCCTTTGGTGCCACTGTCTTTGTACTCAACCGTAGCTTTGAAGCAGCCTTTCACGCGAATGGGTTTGTGGGAATAGTCAGTCAGTTTTATCTTCGGTGTCTGTAGAGCCTCTTTGGGGAGATGCTTAGAATATATTTCTTCTGACAGAATAGATACTGCTGAGCCTGTATCTATGAGTAGCTTGACTGGCACACCAATGGTTGCGACATCTGCAAAGATTCCTTTTGTGACACTGTTCACCGTTAGAACCTGTACTTCTTCCAGTTCATAATATTCTCCACCTTCTACAGCATTGACTGAAGAATATCGAAAG